AGCGCTCCTCTTCGCCGCGACGATCACGACATCATTGTCATAGGGAATGAGCAGCTTTGCCTTGCCCACACCAAGGCTGGTAGATATCTGGCTGGTGAGTTGAGAGAGGCGAGACTGTGCCATTTTACTAGTTGAAGTAACAGGAGACAACAAGGAGGTCGAGGAGGAAGAGGAGAGGTTCAGCAGAGCTGGCTGAGAGAGAGGAGACGCGGATGCGGGGAAGTCGGTGCTGCTTATGATCTCCAACGTTAACCGGTTATCACATGCACCGGAAACAAACCCTCAGACCGGTGCGGCTTGGTCACGTTTTCACATGGACCAAGTTGGGCGCTTACTAAGCGAGTTGGGCGCGCTATTTTCGGCGCCTGCAAACATAGGGTCCTCGGGAGCAATGGGGCGGTGATGTCACCCAAGAAGAGGGGCGATCGTTCTTTCCGTCCCTCTTCCACGCGTTCGGTGGTCGGCGCTAGTTCGCATCCTGTCTCTCAACGACGAGCACAACAATCAACAACCAACAAGATGACCACACCATCTCCCGTCGACCTCATCCTCATCTTCCGTACTTCACCCAAATCCCGCACTGAGTCGGAAGATGCAGAACGAGCATATACCTCTCTCCTCTCCCAGCTCACCGCAGGTGGGCTCGAGGCTGTCGGCAAGTCCGGCGCAACCCCGAGCGAGCTCCTCATTTTTGTTCGCTGCTCATGGGACAAGATGAAGGAGCTCGTGGACCGGCAGAGAACCGAGGATTTCCTCCACAGTGTAAGCGCCGCTAGTATGCCTGCTCTCGAACGACCCGTGGGTGAAGCCACATTGACCCCTGCGGACCGACTGCGCCTGCTTCATTCATACATCACCACCAGTATTCCCGACGGCGGACTCGGAATTGCACCTGGCGCGTCTGGACACGAGCGAGTGAAGGGCATTATGGCCCTCAAGAACAAGCAGTTCGAACACGAATGGATTCGGAGCTGGACCTTAAGTCGCCTTGGGGTGTGGATGAGCGATGCCGAATTAGGGCGAGTCAAAGACGAATACGGAGAATCCGTTGCACTCTACTACGCGTTCCTTAGCAGCTACGCGCATGCTCTTCTCATACCAAGTTGGTTGGGAGGCGGGGCTTGGTACTTCAATCTCCCTTACTCGCCTTGGTATGCGATCCCACTTTGTCTGTGGAGTATCTTCTTCGTCGAGTTATTCCGACTGCGCGAGCGTACCTTGGCCGTGCAATGGGGAACCCGAAACTCTCAGAGGGTGGAACGCCGGCGTGCGGAATTCAACGGCACCATCAACGAGGACGGTGTGGAGAGCTTCCCCTGGTGGCAGCGAGAAATTCGCAAACTAGCGTCAATCCCCGTCATCCTCACCGAATCCTTCGTTCTGGGACTCGTACTGACTGCGATATTCGTATTCGAAGCTTTCGTTACCCAGATCTACACTGGCCCGGGCCATGCCTACGCCGGCTACATCCCCACCGTCATCTTCCTCACATTCATCCCCAAGCTCCTGGAGATGTATCAAGCAAGTGGGAAGGCGCTCACCAACTGGGAAAATCACGCGCATCAAAGCTCCTACGCGACCAGCTTGACGCTCAAAACGTTCACGCTATCGGCCGTGGTCGCCTACCTAGGCTTGTATCTCACCGCATTCGTGTACATTCCATTCGGTCCCAACGTCATGGGCTGGGTGTATACCAAGGTTCTAGCGCTACGGATGTCGACAGACATTCCGCCCACTACCGCAAATACAATGTCCACCGATGCGAAGGTGGTCAATGGTACCCGGTTTGACTCGCTCTCTAACGCACAAGCCAAAATCCGCCCCGATCGTTTGCATAACCAGATGTTCGCATACACGGTCACAAATCAAGCCGTCAACTTCGTTATGGAAATTGTCCTCCCGTACGTTACTCGTGCTGCCAGCAACTTGCAGCAAGGCAAAGGGCTGTTGGGAAACAAGGGTCTTGTCACCCCGGAGGAGCAGAGCATCTCTGTGCAAGAGCGAGACCTTCTCCTTCAAGCACGGGAAGAAGCCGCATTGCCCGACTACGAGCTCTTCGGCGATTATGCGGAAATGGTAACCCAGTTCGGGTATGTCGTCCTCTGGTCCGTCGCTTGGCCGCTCGCACCGTTTTGCGCTCTGGTGAACAACTGGGTGGAGATCCGCTCGGATGCCTTCAAGCTCACCGCGCATTATCGCCGCCCACTGCCCAGCAGGACGGAGAGCATCGGCCCCTGGCTCGATAGCTTGTCGTTCCTCTGCTGGCTTGGGGCTTTGACGACTGCGGCGCTTATATTCCTCTTCAAGCCAACCGAGGAGAACATTCCTCCTGTGCATGGATCTGGCCTGGGAAGTCAGTTCCTTACCACTAAGCTCGCTCGCGCCCATCTGCCGAGCGAGACAGAGACGCTTATCACTGCGGTACTCCCCGCGCTGTTGGTTGCGCTGGCCGCATCACACGCCTTCCTTCTCGCGCAGAGCGCCATACGTTTCGTGTTAGAAAAACTGCTCTGGCAAGGGTCTCCCGCACAGGTCGGCCTGCGGAAGCGAGAGAGGGAGGTCCGCTTGCTCTGGGCCCAGAAGTCCGTCGCCACTGCAGGAGGGAGCAATCCTGATGAAGTAGGACGGGATCTTGGTGCTGCTGTGCCTGATCCTACAGAGAATCGCGAGGATGAGTGGAAAGGGTTCTGGGAGAGGGAAGAGGGACTGAGCGAGATCAGGAGCAATATTAAGACGGCTTAGGCGCCGACATTTAGGGGCGGATGATGGACTTCGTGAACAATATGAGAGGACACTTAGAGCTTGACTATTTTGTGTATGTAATTTGTGTATATACTATGTTTGACCCACATATACTAGTGTGCGGCCTGGTGCGTACGTGTGCCGGGCTTTTGTTCGCACGCGTCAATTGGGAAAGCCTCCGCATGCACGAGTCCAGTCTGAGAACCCAGCCTTTTTTCAAACCGAAGCCACCGTTGTCTTCTGGAAAGTGCATATACCTGGCACAGGTCAATATCCCTATCCTTGGTGCTTGTTACGGTCATCCCTTGCATTGGCACATACAAACCGCTTCTTGACCTTCCGAAAACGCGAACATGAGCTTCTTCCCACCCTCTATCCCTCACATCGCGTGCCCGATGGATTCGATCGAACAGCTTCAAGTCGATGAAGAGCTCCGAAAGATTGACGAAGAAGAAAACTGGCTTCATCGCCGAAGATCTGAACTGCGTCAAGAACGAAACGCTGCATCGCCAGTCTCCAAACTACCGAACGAGTGCCTCTCTATGATTTTTGACCTTGCTTCTAAAGAAGAACATGCGCGTTCGAAGGAGAACCGTGGAATAATGCGCGATCGCCCTACGTTCCGGACCACTTCTACCGTGGTATCTCAAGTCTCAAACCACTGGCGAGCTGTTGCTCTTACTACTCCTCGCCTTTGGTCCTCCATCTTCCTGATAATAGGAAGGAGTCGGCCACGTCAAAAAAATTACATCGAGGGGTTACTAGAGCATGTTCGCCGTGCCAAGGCAGCTCCCATTGACATGGAACTGTCTTCTGGATTGTTTTATCGGCCCGGAGAATACCCGCTACCCGAGTTGTCCAGCCTCGAGCTCGAGATCGTTAGCGACTTGCTGCCTGCATGTCGTTCCCTCAAAGTCTGCTTGCCACCGCGAGAAGCATCATACTCTGTCCTCGCCCGTTTGCTAATTCAAGATATGCCCCAGCTGGAGGAACTCTCGTTAAGTGGTGATGCGCACAGTCAAGCATGGACCATCTCGATGCCTCTTTGCAGCGAGCGTCTGAGGTCCATTGAGCTTCGCTATGTCCAATTACACCCCGTGACACTGTCTCAACTCGCCCAGGTGAGCTCACTAAGGATGAACCATTCATCCATCGTGACGACGAAATCGGAACGCAAACCCGAACAGCTGGATGCATTGAAGAAGACGTGGCAGACGAATCTGATGGACGAAAGGCAAAGCTTACTCAGCTTGCAGGTGTTGCAGGGTGCAACAAACCTCAGGCATCTTACCTTGCAGTATGTCTTCGTAGCGACCCCACCCGAGGATCTTGCTACCCTAACGTTCACACGTTTGGATTCCCTTGAACTCGCAGCCGGGATTCAGCTATCGACGTAATGATAGGAGATCAAGTGGAACCATCACAGCATATAATCGACATCATGTCTCATGTGGAGGCACCAGCCCTTCGAAGTCTCACCCTGCGAGGCTTAAACCATGAAGGACTCCGAGCTGGAGGCATCATGCAGGTTTTGGCAAGGCACAAGCTCCCTCTTGAAACCCTTTACCTCAGGAGATTGACGTATGAGACAAATGAACTCTTGGATTTCCTCTCCAGTGTTCCGACTCTGATTAGATTGTCTTTTGAAGAATCCTGCCTTGGACGCGACGCTGTCGAGGGAATGAAGGCGAGGCACCCTCGTACCAACACCAGTTGCCCGGCATTGATCAAACTTTTCATAAAACACACTCGCACTGAAGATATTGCCAACTATCACCCATATACCATGACCGGCCTTCGATCCATGATTCGCTCACGATGCTACTCCGACTGCGTTTCCAAAATCTCCAGTCTCAGCGTACAAGATGCGCATATACGCATCCTCCAGGAGACACGTGGCCAGTTCCGCGAATACGTCAACGAACTCAGTCTGAACGACCAACCCGTCCAAATGCATTTCCATGATTCCGATGAGAGTAACTTAGCCGGTCCACCGTTATCTTCTGTGAACCAGGAGTTTGGAAATGACTTCCCTTTTGATGAGGAAGCCCCTTTCCTGGAGGACATAACGAGCGGCCATTTCATTTTTGATGGGGTTCCCGTGCAGTGGTCCATTCAGCTCAACGACTAGTGTTTTGGACCTGTACCTTTTGTGAGAAATACAAACGCCGAACCTGCTCTTCTTCTCCGTCAGTACTGCATTCATTACACCTTACTCCATTGTAACTTTATAAACGTCCCTTACGAAAGGCCACATGCTCACTGTCAGGGAGAGCTAGAGCCACGTCAATTGATCATAATTGTTGTAACATCGGGAAACACTATGTTGTCGAAGAGTGAGAAACAGTCACCGGGCTGGTCAGCTGTGCGCCGACTGACCACCAACCTAAAGTTCACAAGATGAGGTCGTTCGAGCCGAAAAGGAGGAATCAGCCAGGCCGTGCTGAGGTGGCAGAAGCAACTCGTAACGGGAATGACCCTTGTATTACTCATAGACATAGTACACGCGTGATAGGTAGCATAACAGTTAATACTAATACACAAACCAGCTTGCTGCTCCTCTCCTTAGACGGTACTCTCCAGGGTTGAGGGGATTGGTAGGGGGCTCATTCCTAAGCGGTACCATACTGCAAGAAGCTGGTGTGATAAAACGGTGTCATCTTTCTTGCAGGCGTATAGCGCCTTGTACATGATCTGGCGGTCATTTTCCGAGGCGTCCTCCGCTTGAACTGCGTCCACATGCAGTGTCCATTGCGAGCCATCTGATGTAGGCGAGGCGACCTCGTCCAGGCAGTCGTGCCAGTCTGTCTGATTCCAGTACCGCAGATAGATCCTCTCAGCCAAGTAGTGTCGCTCGTGGTACCGGTCCAATCGCAGATATTTCGGTCCAGTCGGGAAGTCGACGAGGATTACGGCATAGTTCATAAAAGCACCGAGATACACAAGTACCAGCCTGGCCCGATACCGCACGCCGTAGCCAAACTCCAACACCCATCGGTCTCCATATGGCTGAGCCCCGAAGTCAGACAAATATGACGCGAGATCGTTGCCGGCCATGAAGCCAGATGGGAGACCTTCAGGACTGATATTGATGACTGCAGTTGTTGCATCCACCCTTTGCGAGCATGCCTTAGTTTCTCCTGCCAGTCGGCAATCTACTTCCCATCAGTAATGAGCCGTAGGCGGAATCGATCTTTGTGCTCTTACCCAGAGTGTGTTGTTCTTCATCTCTCCCACTGTTATCGAATCCAAGCTGATCGGGGAAATCCGTATTTGGGGAAGTGGTTCCGATGACGAACCCTCGCCAAGGCAAACCTCAATCCACAAGAAGGTGTTTTGGCGGCCAAGAATTACTCCTCCGTGTTGATATATTAGTTGATTAACGTGCCGGAGTAGATCTTCCTCTCCTTCCCCAGCGACAACCCAGGACTCGTCCGAAGGTGTAAGTACCTCAGAATTTTCTCCCAGTGCCGAGGCCTTCGGTCCCTGACAACGTAGGGCACCCAGATGGGAGTCTGCGGACACACTGGGATCCATCTGGCTCGAGTGCTCCAGAACCAACAGGAGAGCGCCTTCCTCTGCCAGCGCCATGGTGGTGATATATGGCGGTGTGGCGTATTCATCCTCCAAAGAGAAATCAAGTGTCCACACCTGCAGCAGAGGGCCCTGTGCACCGTCATGTAGGTCCACAAGACGGTACACGGTAATCCAGCAGTCGAAGCGCAGGGCGAGGACTGCTCCCGTCTCGGTTTCTTCAAAAGTGGCTTCGAAGAACTTATCTGGAAATTCAGTACTTGTGGTTGCTTCCAATGTTGCATCCTCGTTTGCAGTCGCAAGCTCGTTGAAGCCCGCGAAAACTTCCACACATACATAGTCGTAGTTGACGATCACGAGAGCATCATTTACGAAGCGGGCGGTCAATCTACGTTGATTTGGCTAGAATAACAGATGGATCAGTTATAATATACCATGGACAGGGAGGGTTCACGTACCCATCCCCGGCAGTGAAGCTCCACTTTCTTCTCGGAATGCACACGTGTGGCATATATGTTTCCATGACTATTTTCGTCGCAGCATATGAACCACTCGCCATTGTAGGCTAGAATCATACCCCATGTGCGTCGTATGCGATGTGGGATCAGAGAGTCGCCGACTTTCTTGAGTGTGAGGATGTGCTGAAGGGCTGAATGATCGGTCGATTCCTTCTTCTGCGTCATAGTGACCAGTATCTCTTGACCAGTCTTGATGTAAATAGGTGCACTCATCTCAAGAGTCGGCTCCATATCGCAGCCCTCAGTGACACCCCAGGCACCTAGCTGGACCCAGCGCTCTTCAGTATGAGCATAATGTAGTCATAACACCGTCCCATCCAGAGTAACCACAACCCTATCATTCTCTCCCACTCGGTCGATCCAGGAGCAAGGCTTAGGAATGCCAATCGCCGCAAGGCCGGATAGAATAGCTCCAGGTGCCGCTCCAGAAATGAGTCGTCGTGCGGGTCCTTGGCCAACTTCATCTTTTCTCGTCTCTGGTGCGTCGCATTCATCCAGTCGCTCTCTGTCTTGCTCCATAGCGGTGTTGGATATGCGTCTTTTCGGCGAGGACTGGGTGAGAACTTATACCAGATGGGGATGTCATAGAGGAAGTCGCGGGAGTTGGCAACCTGCTTCCGATGACGTAAACTGGGGAATTAGGATTGAGGGAGTTCGCGTCAGACATACACGTAACACGAACCATGACCAAGGGCGACTCACGCTCATCACTCGCCTCACACGCATACCCACCATTCTACGCGTGCTATCTACTCAAATCGCTGTCAAGTCCTCGCAGTCGAACTACCTATATAGGCAGCACACCGAATCCCCTTCGTCGTATTCGACAACACAATGGCGAGCTCACACAAGGCGCGTGGAAGACGCGTCAGCATCGGCCTTGGGTGATGGTAATGATCGTGTATGGCTTTCCCAGCAAGCTGCATGCGCTTCAATTCGAATGGGCCTGGCAGCATCCCGAGGTTAGCCGACATATGCGCGAGGAGTTCAAAGTGAAGCGAAATGCCTACTACTTGGGTGAAAAGGTCAAGGTGTTGCGCGCTATGTTGGCCCACGCCCCTTACCGAACATGGCCGTTACACGTCAAGCTATTTCATGAGGACGGCTTGAAGGCATGGAGAGCCTCCGAAATTTACTTTCAGGGGGAACCCCCGCTGCCAACAATGTGCAGGATTGAACTCGAGCTCGAGGGTGTGGATGGCAAGGCTGGAGGGGGCACCGGCCGAGCCGGTGGAATAGAGGTCAACGACGAGGCATTTGCCGGAGCACATGTCAGAAAGCTACGGCGGATACTTGGTACCTCCAAACTGCACACTTGCAGCATTTGTGAGCAGGCGCTCTTGCCCAGTCTCCCAGCCCTGACAACCGCGTTGTGCCCTCTTGGATCATGCTCCGCAACATCACACATCTCATGCCTCGCTGGAGACTTCCTTAAACAAAAGCCAACTGATACTATGATGCCTCGAACGGGCACGTGCAAGCTCTGCGGACACACACTGTTGTGGGGAGACATCGTCCGAGGATGCTATCGTCGACAAAAAGGCGGTTTACCGACGACCGCAGAAGACAACGAAGAACAGGAAGAGGATGAGGACGAGGATGATGAAGACGAGGATGGCTTAGATGTGCAAGAGGGACCTTTGGCGCTAGCAAAGTCAATCATTCAAAGCCCTGCCCGATCTCTTCCTACACGAAAAGGACCGCCTGCGTTCTCGGTCTCGAAACCAGGCTTATCTGCGATGCACGCTTCGAAACCCAGGGGTTCCAAGAACGAGCACAATAGACACATACCTTCTCCGAAGAACGCGCGAGAAATGTATCTAGATATTGACGACATATCTAGTCTATCTGCTTCAGAATCCGCCCCGAAAACTGCGAGAGTCTCAGCAAAGCGCCGAGCCTCATTGCACAAGGTCTCGACGGCCAATGGTCGACGGCGACTGTCTATCCCGCCCAGGTCCCTATCACTTTCTAAGCCTCAGGCTTCGATAGCTGCAAAGACGAGACCTAATCGGCCAAAACCTGCTCCTAAACGGCCAGCTACGCAAGTGAGTCATGCCTCAGGAGAAGAATTCGATTTGGACAATATCTCGTCCTGCTCCGACGACTGAATGATCCAAGAGTTTCAAGAGTTTCAAGAAGCACGTGGAGCGATCTGACCCACAGGCCCAGTGCTGTTATAGAGTACTGTAGGTTGTTTGCCATTTGAGACCAGGACGATCCTACAATCGGAGTTGTGAAGGAGAGCTTGTGTTCGTGTATCTTCGCGGCTAGGGTTACTAACCGTTGTTTCCAAAGCTTCACGCGAACACTCTCCATCGATTCATCCAGTAGCACTCCTGAATCCAGTTCCTTGTTTTCTGTCCTGCCACCTCAAGCGCAGTGCCGTCCAGCTCGGTTGCTACCCTGGTTGAGTGAATGTACTCCAATACTGCGCTAAAAGTCGACCAGCATAAGGGGTTCCATCACCAGCAGGTATCCGAGCAGTACTATGGGCATGGCCTTGATGTATGATCAGCAGTTGTGTTGCTTTTGCGATACCTCTGCTTGTAGGAGACAGAACAGTATATCACTATCTCCTGACAGAACGATTGAATGGAGTTTTTCGAGACACCTGCTTGATTACCACATCGAAGTACACAGTTAGGCGGGAAGGAACAATGAGTCGCTGTACATTTCTTTGAAGGGATCGAGATGCAGGGATACATCTCACCAAACCAACTCTTAAACCTATGCCATAGATTGCAAATGCCGGTACTATAAAACACAAGAAGGTTCGGCTATCTGGAGTAAGTAAATGCAATGTTAATACACACTCTCCTCAAGATTCCGAACAGGCAGGACAAATCTTGTTCGAAGAAAAGAGGAGAATGATCTGCCAAACCCACATCTACCAAGTAATCCCGATGCTTAATCCGCGTAAATGATCGCCCAGTACGTCCGTCCGAAGCCCTCAGTCATCATCTCCCGTCAGGTCAACAGGACAAGATGCGCTGCCACCCGGAACCTCGTCGATGTCCATCTCGGTTTCCAATGTCTCAACCGATTCTGTCTCGTCCAACTCCTCTGCGATTAGCTCAGGCTCGTTCGTCCTAGCTTTCTTACTCGATGTCCTCTCCGTGCAATTCTCCGAAATCGTCTCCAAAGGACCACCGGAGGCACCGGCCTGGCTAACCGACATGCATCTTACATACACAGGGGTCGTATGCCTCGGCAGCGCATGTTGCATCACCGAGGGAGACCTGTATCGCAAGTTGTTCTCTCCCTCGACCTCATCGAATGACGCGAACGTCGGATAGCGCGGCGGAGGTCTCCTTATGTACCCGTTCGGTGGCCTCTGCCGGGTTTCCGTGGACGTGATCTTCTCTATCATCGGTTGGACCAAGGACGTGATGTACATCTCGAAGTCAGCGGCAGAGGGAATCACCATCGGAACATCGCTCATAGACTGTGGTAGAGGGTAAAATTCCTGAGAAACACGAGTTGAAGCGTTCGTGGCTTTCACCGGCACTGGCTGGTGCTCTTTCGATTCGTTGATCCCGCTCTCGGTTGGACGTACGTTGTGTGAAGTAAATGCAGCTGGCTGCGCGGTGGAACCGGTTACCCCGGACGAGAAAGGAACTTGAGGAACAGAGGCTTGTTCTGGATGATTTCGTGAAGATTGGCCGAGATCCTGAGGAGACATCCTGGCAGGGAGCTGTTCAGATTGCCCAGGGTGGAAGGAGCTCGTGTCCATCAGATGAGAATGATGCGCAGATGTATTGTGAGAAGCAACATTGGCGTAGTCAGAGCCGGGATTCGAGGGAGCCTGTCCCACACCAGCGGGGTTGGAAACTTGGCCGTTGTTGGAGCTTGCAGATTGATCAAAATACGGATGCGACGTTCGGACAAGCAATCCTGAGGGTTGAGAGGTGCTCGTCTTTGGCCATGTGAAACTCTGAGAAGTCGTGTTTGGCTCCGGAATGGTCGTGTTGGTTGCATGATGAGGAGCAGCATGAATAACCTGCGTCGCCCCCTTTTCGACGATTGGTGCCAGGTGTCGACGAAGAAAGAAAGGATCGCATGGTGCCTCGTGCGACTTTCTTTCTTCCGTAGAAGGCAAAATCGTTATGGATGGTATTGCCTGGACTTGAGGTGTTGCTAGATGTGATGGGACGGATGTGAAAGGGGCGGGCGGGCGCGACTGGCTGTGCCCGGGTGGTTCCATACTCAAGGAAACAGGTGCGGCTGTCGCCATTGGAGCGGCAGGGGATGGGGAAGACACGGGGGCCTTGATGGAGGATAGATCTTGGTTGTGCTGCAGATTCGCAAGGGTGAAAATGGCACCCTGCTCGATTGGAGTGAATGAGAGATTTTTTGGCATTGTGACCGGCTGGCGGGACGCGCCATTTTCTCGGGTGCGAGCAGCCAGGAGGCATTGTTCTTCCGATTTACTGAGTATGGCCTCAGTCAGCTTCATTCGCATGTCCGGTTCATGCCATACAAGCCTCCTGTGGATAGTAGATTATCGTCAGTGATAAAGACTCGTTACAGAGGTGGGTCGCTTACAGATACTCGTTTTCATTCGCAGCAAAAATGAACTCTTTCCATGAAAGGTTATCGATGAGGATCGCTACGGAATCCAAGGAGATGTGTACTAACGCCATGTACTTCCGGAACTGGGAGGGGCCGTCGAGCGTGGAAGGGAAATCCGACGACACGTAAATTTCGCGAACAACAGGCATGGTCTGGCGACCATACTTGATCAAAACGTGGTTCTCCAATACTTGAGTAAGATTCTTGGCCAGATTAGAAAAGTAGTGCAAGACGGGCTGCAAACAAGCCCATTTAACCACGATGCAGGTGTGCTGTGCAAAGCGCGCGAATGCTGGCGCCTCCCGGTTAAAGTTATATATACCGGGAGGGAGAGCAGCAACAAACTGCGTCGGGGTTTTGGTGGCGAGAAGAGCGGCGATGGTATTGTAGGGGAACATAGGAAAGAGGCGGGGAGGGTGCCAACGGCAGTCTGGTGGGAAGCCGCAGCCATCTACGAGAGTACAGCTGCAATACATCTGACCCTGGTCTGGTTCAGCCATTTTGCTGAGAGAGCAATGCGAGATAGGCGGGGAGGAAAGGCAAGTGAGTGAGAGAGGTAAGAGGAAGGAAGGTGAGTGCGGGCATCGCAGTGAAAAGGAATGCAAAAGCCAACGTGTGTTCTGGCTCAAACAAAGTTGCGCAAACAAAAGGAGAATTGGTTTGCCTCCGATCGTCCCTCCCTTACCTTTTTGTGCGACTATCAAACAAAGACGTTTCGCTCCCACTCCTACCTAGGGCAGGAAGGCGAAGGACAAGGGAGCGACGCTATCAAAAACCGCGCAGTAGAGAAGATGGGAGAACACCTCTTCCTTTGGGGCCTCGTTCATCATCTTGTTTATAAAATCCTGATTGCATTGTATTCGTCAAGGCCAGGGATGCCATTAATCTCTCTGGCACAATGCTAAAAGAGCGAGGAATTTCACGGTCGCCATTTTCGCGGAGACGTTGACGCTCCATCAGACACGATAATATTCCTTCCTACATATTACATTCAACGACCCGTTTACAATTGAGTCTTTTGAGGATGGCCTCGCGGCAAGCTGAATCCCTCGGCAACACAAGATCAAGCATATCCGTTCGCATCTTTCCCACTCGGTAAATTGCGTACAGGGCTATGCGGTGCCGGCGTCGCCAGACTTGCAAGTTTCCCGTTCATGCTGGAGGTGCGTTTGCTCGCCAGCCTCTGCCTGCGAGCTTGCACGCCTTTCCTGAGTTGGTCTAGCAATGGGACAGTCGCCTCCCAGGAGATACACGCGTCCGTTACGCTCTGGCCCCAGGCGAGTCCTGCCCGACCTTCAGGGGGGATGTCCTGCCGTCCTTCGACGAGGTTAGACTCGATCATCACACCAATGATACTGCGTGCGGTGTCGGACTCGGCGAGTTGACGGGCGACTTCTGCACCGACTTCCAGCTGCTTTTGGTGTTGTTTGGAAGAGTTACCGTGCGAGCAGTCGATCTACGTGAACGGATGAGATGCCGTCCGAAGCACAACAAACATGATGGAGCTTACCATAATCCTTTGTGGAAGCCCTGCCTTTGCCATTTTTGCTGCAACTGCCTTGACGTTTTCTTCGAAGTAATTCGGCCCGCTCTTGCCTCCCCTCAAGATGATATGTGTATCCGGATTTCCCTCTGTCTCGACAATGGCGCTGAGCCCATGCTTCGTCACGGACAAGAAGGTGTGATTGCTCGCACTTGCTCTGCAGGCATCAATAGCAATCTCCACCCCGCCATCTGTTCCATTTTTGAATCCCACAGGCATACTGAGCGCACTCGTGAGCTCCCGGTGTACCTGGGACTCAGTGGTGCGTGCGCCAATTGCACCCCACGTCACAAGATCGGCGGTGTATTGCGGCGAGATAGTGTCGAGGAACTCGCAGCCGGCGGGCAGACCCATCTTGGCAATGTCGAGGAGAAGCGAGCGAGCAAGCCGCAACCCCTTGTTGATGTGGAAGGTTCCGTTCATATTGGGGTCGTTGATAAGACCCTTCCAGCCTACGGTTGTTCTTGGTCTAGATCGCAATGTCAGGTTCACACCGAGGTACGGCAAAGAGGGCACACACTTCTCGAAGTACACCCGCATGCAGATGAGCAGGTCATCCGACGCCTGATCCGCATACGCCTTGAGCAACCTTGCGTACTGTAGCGCCGCTTCGGGGTCGTGCACCGAACATGGTCTATAATCCCTGATGAGAACCCCGTGTTCCTCCATTCAAGGGATAACTCACCCTACAACTATGACCAACCGATCGTCGTCCCCGCGCAAGATGGCCTCCACCGCCTGGCGTCCCTCAAGTACCGTATGCGCGGCTAAGAGAGTTCTGACACAGGAAGTCTCGTGAGATGGTGAGGAATATAATCAAGTTCGTGCAGACACACAATGGGTAGTCTTCCATAAGAATCTGGGGTGGGATGAGAGGGTTGACGTTCCGCACACGGCGGTCGTCCAGCATTTGGACGGCATGCTTAAGGGCTGACATGAATGTAGTGAAGAAGTGCAAGAGTAAGGAAAGTAAGGAGTTGTCGTCAAGTTGTCCGCAGAGAATAGTGTTTTTTGTAGTAGCAGAAATGCACCGAGTCAGGCGGCTTTCCCATGCTTCGACACAAACGTTTGCACCCTACCCGGAAGCAAAGTGATGAAAGGGGACGTGAACGTGATCGACGACGTTTGCTTGGCCGAAAATATGTACATGACAAATGGGCGCATCAACGACGGTGGTTAATCGCCGCGGGTATCCAGGCTGCAGAGGAGAGGTAGGCAGAAGCGACAGGTGCGTGTTGAACGTTGCTTTTATTGAATCACTCGCAGCCCATACGGGCCATGTACTGCTACATTATATACGCTGAACACCTCACAGCGACATCAAAGTTAGACTCCTCAGTGCCACCACCGCGGGATGCGACCACCACCCACATCCCCAGAAACCAGGAGTGCAAGTGCAGGCAGGGAATGCTGTGCAACCAGAGCCCAAAGTGAGCGAATCGGGAAGAAGGATCGGGAATGTTGCCGGGGGCGAAAGATCGTGACGTGGACGGGCGGGCGGAAGGAGTATCGTATGGAATCTTGTGAGACCGAATCTAGAGGGAATGACAGAAATACAGGACTGTTGAAGCCCGATTGCAGATATAGAACAATGCATGATTGAGAGTGGAAAATCCGAGATTGAAGGGTGAGAGCTGGTCCAGCCGTTAACGCAGGCAGAGCTTGACTTAGGGTTAGTCACAACGCAATTAGTTGAGTATGGCGTGCGAGAGGCCGTTGCCGTTCACTGCCCCGACAACCTTCTTCGTCTCTGTACCGAAGGAGCCGAAGATCGCCTGTGGGTTCTGGAAGTCGTTGTGCACGATATTGACGAGGTAGAACGTCTCCATCATGCTCTCGATAAGCTTGCGCGAGACTGATCCAGGCTCGTATATGCTGGCCCATTGCATGCCGAGCTCGAAGGCTTCGTCCTTCCAGGCGAGGAATGACACTGCTTCGACGATGGTAGGTTGGATGATCTCCTTGCCAGCGAAGACACCCCAGGTGACCGCGTTGGGCCCGTCGCTGTGATTATTGGTGCGCAGGTTCCCATGTTTGTCGATCGCATAGTAGGTAATCATGGGGTCGCGTTCAATGCGAGAGACAAGCTCCTCAAACTTCGTTTTATCGCAGAAGAACTCGAGGTACGCTTTCTGGTACACGTAGCCGTTGCGCGGGCCCCAGCCGTGAACTGGATCGGTCGACTTGGCCCCGTTCACCGCGGGCTGACTGTTGATCGTCAGATAGCCATGGTCGTTCAGCTTGGCGAGTTCCGTAGAGATGATAGTCGTCTCGCTCGCCGGGGCGGTGTCAGACCAGGGAAGTGCCTTGAGTTGGCCAAGGCAGAACTTGGAGAAAAGCTCGGTGATGTCATTGAACGTCTGTGGCGCACCCCAGATCTGGCGACCTTCTTCGGGCTATTTAACGGAATGAGTACTCTTGGTTCCTGCAGGAATGACCAGATGAACACTTACAGTCTGCTTAATCCAGATACCGTATCCATCCAATTCACCATACGCAGGACTACGAGAGTCACCAAATCGTCCGTTGGGGTATTCATCCCAGTTCTCTGTGCGGTGGATGTAAGACTTGACACGGTTTGCCCAGAAAATGGGGCGGATATTCTCCCCTCTCCTCGTAGGTGTGAGCGCTTGCCGCCAAGGCAGCGGGCGAACAACCTCGATGTGGGGAACAAAGTTAAGCGCCTCGAGAAGCATACGCGTGCCGCGCTCTAAGTTCATGGTGTAAAAGTGCAGGCCGCGAATGCCAATGTCGGCCGCGAGAATCTTCCGACACATGTCCGCGACAATCTGCGTGCCAATCTCTCGAACCTTCTCGTCGTCGTTCTTATATGGCTCCAGAGCAGCGAGCAAGGCGGGAGGAGTGGAAATTTTGGCCAGAGATGTAGCCCTCTGGAAGCCGTTCCATGTCTGGATGGGCATAATGCCTGGTACAATAGGGCAGGTGATACCGGCCGCACGGACGGCCTTCACCCAGTCAATGAACAAATCGACATCCCAAAACATCTGGGTAAAAATGAAGTCGACACCAGCATCGATCTTGTTCTTTAGGAACTTCATCTCATCTTCACGATCGTGGCGGTTGTGCGCCTCTGGGAAGCCAGCGACTGCGACATCGAAGTAATCTCCATAACCAGCTCGGATGTGCTTGACGAGGTCGATTCCATGCTCAAAACCATCCTCCGTCTTGGTCCATTGCTCTTGACCGAACGGAGGATCCCCGCGCAGAGCAAGAACGTTGCGGCAACCCCATTGCTTAGCTTCCTACGAGTGTGCGTCAGCCCGGGCCGGACAAACCGTGCAACACGTGGCGACATACCTTGAGCGCGATATCGACCTTGGCTGCAGGCATGTTGGTGCATGTCAGATGCATGCATGTCTCGATGCCCAGGTCCCTCTGGCAGCATCGTACGAGCTCAGAGGTGAGCTCAGATGTGCGGCCACCAGCGTTCCTGTGCCAATGTCAGGGACGCGTGATCACTTTGGCAACAGCATGCCTACCAGGTGATATCGATGAACTCTGGGCCAAGCTCCCTCATACGCTCTATACGATCCAGCAGGTTTTGCATACCCTACGATAGGAATCAGTTCATGTGCTGTAATTGAGAGCTGCCGTGCACGTACTGGAGCGGTGCGAGGAGGGAAGTACTCGAACGACCACCAAACCCTGCCCTCGTGCTCCGCCTGCTGAAGTTTCTTTGTGATCTTCATGTCCGACCAGAGAAATACAAAGTAGATGAGAGGACTGGGATGACAAGAGCAAAGGCAAGCAAGGAGTAGATACCCAGAAATGAAAGAAGGAGAGTTTGATTAGATCTTCCTCTACAGTCTGCAGTGGTTGAACATGATATTCCCTGACGAAGGTTGTTCTAGTCCCCAAAGGGACGGTCCACGCCCGGATACGGCATCGGCTGGCCGCTGGGGAAAACCTGGCATCCGTCTATCTCCGCGGGACCAAAGCTGTGGCCCGCCAAAGCCGTAATATACACGTCTTCTGTCTATCTAATATCTTCTGTCGACCGTTCCAGCAAGGAGGGCGTTGGAGTATCGCACGTCGACAGTTGTGGGAAGGGAATGCTGCCTTCGCACCAACACACACACCATCAGCTTTCAGCCTAATGTACTACACAAGCGGCTCAGGGAGCCAGGACGCCCGACGTCACCCGCCCCGCTCACGGCTCAACCATTCATGCTGAACTAACGGCAAGGCTATCTCTATCTATTAACTCCATTCAATGACGAACGCTACGATGCATCTTCCGAAAGCACGAACGCGGTATGATAGCCGCCTTGTATACATGGCGTTTCTACAGTCACCGGCCGTGATTCCTTCGAGAAGCACTTTGGAAGCACATCTGAAGCAGTGGAGCTTCTAACGCTCAGGTTCTGATCCGAGTGTCGCGGAACATTGGACTGGAAGTGGACATCGGACAGGATGTCAAATGAACGGAGGTACGACTGCTGTCACCTGTGCGACATGGTTATCGACCCCCACGAGCACGCGCGTGGATGGCGACAGGAAAGAGTTGTCAAAGGAGAAGTTCAGCTGTACCGAGTCGTTGGAAATTAAAGCGCGCTCTAGAAGTGAAATATTAATACAGCTTGATGATTGTCTTCGTGTCCCTGTCGGAGATGTTGCTCGTGGAAAGCCCACAGATGGGATAATGCTCATTAAGAGTCACATGATTCCCTTCACTTAAAACATCACCTCATTGTGTGATCCGTGATCAAAAGCTCAGATCATCAAAGTCCGCTCAGAGTGATCAATGAAACGCATATACGCTGAATTAAGGCAAAAGTAGTTATCATTAATCGGGTAGTAAACTGTGTCCATCGTACGGGCCGCACTCAACACTTATAGTCGAGCCGATCTTGGGAGACGGGCAACTCTGTCTCCCCACCCAAGAATCAACACCCTTTCCACCTTCTCCTTTTGACAAGAGAAAATTGGTAAAGCGCCCATGTAATTCCAGGAGGGAATAACTTTCGATTAGTGTTTTTTCACATCAGCGCGTGCCCTTAAATGTCGAATTTGCCTCCGTCAGAACGCGCACGGACCCTGTGTAGGGCATAAAATCTGCGATTTCTCCGCAGGTGAGAAGTTGACAGCTCTCGAACACGCATCTAACCCAGTGTGCTAGACGACGTATACTGATAATAGAGTTCGAGTAGATGAACTGTCATTCGCTGGGCATACCATCGCTCTATCACACATCCCAAGAGCAAAGGTGGTTAATCAGCGTTCGGCACAAATCTCGCTTTTAAACAGGCAGTTTGTTCCTCTCCTCCACTAGTAATCTCAGTTCTCAATTCATGTTGATTGGTACTTGCAATGAGCGTTCATATCACATCAGCCTTGCAGCCTAGTGTTCTTGATCCAGCATCGAATCTCGACCACATCCAAAAAAGGAAAGATAACGGAGGCGGATTTTTGTGAATTTCCTGACCTTGCACGCTTCACTAACTTCCCACCGTCATTCCCATTCCCCGCCTCAGGCCAACATGGCCGCCGCAGTTCTTGTTGCTCTTCACAGTAGGAGCGTTCTGGGCAAACGCAAAGCCGCGCCAACTAGCTTTCGGATAGCTCACACGAAGACTGACGAGTCCTCGAGCGTGTCAGAGACTGAGAGCGAACCTTCGGCATATGAGTCGCAGTATTCAGATGACGAGCTATCGGGCGATGATAACGACGGCTACTCCTCAGAAGGAGAACTCAAACTCGATGCCTCTGCTATGCAGGCGAACGATACCCCAGACCTTGGACTCTCTCGCCTCAGAGTGCAAGGCGGCGGTGTATCGACTCCTGCACGCGCCTCCTTCGTCCTGGTGAATGGCGCGCTCGTACAAAATGAGAAGAAGAAGAAGGCGAAGAACTACGCATGCACATGGCCGGGATGTGCTAAGGCTTATACGAAGCCTATCAGGCTAGAGGAGCACGAAAGGAGCCACACTGGCCATGTACGTCTGCTTCCTGCGCATTTTGGCCACGCGTTGATATCTTCCAGCGACCATACCATTGCGAGGAATGCGGACAATCCTACATGCGCGATACCCATTTTTCTGCTCACCTACGCTCGCACCGACCCGACTTAGAGAAACCCTATGTGTGCACCGAAGAGTCTTGCGACAAGCATTTCTGGACCTCTTCGCAGCTCAAAGCGCATGCGGCGACACACCGAGGTGAAATGCCCTTCGCATGTGACCAATGCGAAGATCGATTTGCGAAGAATGCACAATTGAGGAGGCATGTGGCGGTCAAGCATTGTCCACCAGGGACAAAGGTGTTTAGGTGTATACATGAGGGGTGCACGAAAAGCTTTGCTCATAGTGCAAAGCTGAGAGCACATGAGAGGAAACATGACAGTATGTCTTCCTGCCCCGTTTTCCTAGTATTGAGGTGCTCATTCACTTCCAGCTGAACGCTATGTCTGTTCACATCCCTCATGCTCCTCGCTAGACCGTTTCCCTACATGGACCGCTCTCAGACGCCATGTACAGGAAGCGCATCCTCCTACATGTCCCTACAAGATGTGCAGAGGGAAAATGTTCAGCAGAAAAGACAACTTAAGAGCGCACATGAAAATGCATGAAGAGGGTCATGCACTTGATGAGTCTGGAGAAGAGAGCGATGAGAGTGACGAAGGTCGTCGCAAGAGGAGGAAGAATGGGGGGGAGTGGAAGTGTGGAGAAGACGGATGCACCAAGTCCTTCCGCGCTGTATGCTCCTTACTCATGCTTTTGAACGATCGCTAATTGACCTTCCAGCAAGCTGCCCTTAACAAGCACAAACAAATTTCCCATCTTGGCTTGCGGCGTTTCGCGTGCAATGTGCCCAAATGCGAATATACATGTGGGTATAAGCATGTCCTACAAAAACACATTCAGCGACACCATGCCCCCGTCAGTGCGGCAAACGATGTTGATCCGGAACACAGAGAGAGGATCAAGGTAGAACAGGAAGATATATTGCTCTCGGCTGACAACCGATTCATTCCGGTCCCAAATGTGTGCGCCCAGGAACCATCACCTGAGGACATCATCTCCCTCCTGACGGGCGCACCGCGACACGTTCAACCAGCTCGGCGTATTCTCCCATGCCCCTTCCCCGACCTGCTCGAGCAACCCTTCGACACCGAGCGACGTGGAACATGCGTCTGGACTTGTAGCAGAGTGTACGACTTGTGGCGGCATTTACGTCGGGAGCATGGGTTTGATTGCGAGAGGTCGGTGTTGGAGACTTGGGTTAAGGAAGGAGAAGAGCGAGCGGTGTAGCTATGCGTTGCTTGAGTAATGGCGCAGCTCCTTACAGAAAGGATTTGTTTATTGAATTGTATCCTTGCATAATCGCCCTTGAACGTCGTCCCAATAATCATAGAAAGTTTTTCTCGGGGTGACTGTTAGATCCTGTTCATCCTGGGTCGTGGGCCCATCAACCTAGCTGCTTCCCGTGTCGAATTCATTTATCTTGCCTACGTCAAACGGTGATGAACTGTGCTGTCGGCCCGTCTTAGTAGGTCTCGTTCCCATCTGAAGGTGGAGCGAGGAATTCTTGGCATCCTTCGTATTATGTTTCATACAGAATTAACGCTTGCAACATTGTTATGGATTGTGTTTTCGCATATAGACAAGGGGCTCTGAAGCCAAGGTTAGAGCGTCCAAGGTTACTTCTTGAACTTCTGCCTCCACACTCCCTTGTCGTTGGAAGGTACTCCAAGGAGTACCATTCAACGACGAGCATGTGAAGGCTGCCTTCTTGTTCCACATTCTGTGTCATTTTGTGAATTTGCATTTTACTGCGTTGTCTGAGATGTCCTGCTGGTCCAGCATGGTGCTCTGTATGATATGCAGCGGTGATATGTATGAGTCTGACGGGAAGCCGCGTATACGTGTTTCAAGAATTTCCCTGATAGACGTGCCACTATAGGATTGCGTGCTAGAAGTTTTGGTCAGGAGTCTACATAACAGATCAGGACAGTCTGTTCGGTAAGAGACGCGCCGCACGTCTATCATCCTATCCAGTAACTTTGATCAAGATCGGTGTCGACCGGAATGGTATTGCAAGTCGGACACAGTGCCCGAGTTGTACTGGCGGGCAAGCCGTTCATGTGGAAGGCGTCGACGACCGTCCTGTGCCCGAAGATAAACCGATTGTTGGTATTGACCGCGGCGCGGAGTATCCAAAGTCGAGCATCGGCACCAGTGCTGATGGATCTCTTCCATTCCACGTTGTTTCCACAGGTCGCGTGCAAAAGCTGACCGCCAATCAGAGTACAAGCAGGAGTGCAACAGACTTGCAGCCTGATTTTTCTGTCCTTCCTTCAGAGCGCAGAGGTTGCACAAGAACGATGCAGTCGCCACTTCTGGATCGCAGGATTTCGAGAGGCAGGATCAGATGTTGCTAGATCTTCAAGGTCCGTTTCGGCCCGATCCCTGTGCATGTGGGTTTTGCTGATGGTATGCGGCAGGAGAGCACTGTAGCAGTTAGGGATAGGCACAGTCGTCAAGGTAGCCTGGGGAAGATCCAAAGCTTTGTGGAAGGGAGGCTAGAAAAGGATCGCAGCATTGTAATGTGTGGATGTTCGTGTGATAGGGGTGAATTGTATCGACAGACGATGAGAGGGATAGGGATGCAAGCGGGGGTTATATACCGTCCGGTGTCGTAAGCAAGGCGTGGCATCGGCGAGGTGTAGGGGCACGTGGGTTACGTACGTGATTTGTCCGTTGTTGTGCCGAACAGAGCCACATCGGCGCGTGCTTCTGGGCTGCTTCTTGCCAGAAGCCAAGTTAAATTACATCAATCATCTTATGTCGTCGGGATAGACCGTATGGTGTATGCATGCGATTGCATGACGACACTCTCAGCAAAGGCGGATGTTACCGTTTCCAGCACTCTCCCGTTCGCTTGGGAAATTGCATGTCGTGGCCGAACGCGTGTAAAGAAGAACGTGAGGTGCTGAGTGGGGTGGCATGGAAGCCAAATCCGGGAGATTTCGTTTCATGATTCATACGTCGGTGTCGCTGTGCTGGTCAAAGCTGGCGTGTTTATTGTTGTTTTGTGTTGTATACGAAACGCCCGCTGTCAGATCGTTGTAGGGTACGAGCCGGAGTGGACATGTTGTGTGTGGTGGTGAGAGCGCGATGATTATGTGCCTCGTGGCCGTGCCGATCGGCCGTGTGGGCGGAGATCGCGGAGTGGCCCCGTTTGAGGTTTGTGGGTTGATGTGTGTTGCGTTCATTATAGGGTCGGTCGTCACCCTGTCCCGGGGTCCTCGCTGTCGCCTCTCTTTCTCTCCCATCAACCAGCCACGACCTCACCGACTCCCCCCGATACCCTTAAGTGTTCCTCCTGGCGCGTTGCCGCGTTCGCAGAGTGCCATTTTCGTGTTCTGCCCCCGTTCACACTCAAGGAGAAAGGGAGGGACACACACACCCGTCGCCCCCTTGCCATCATCTTCTCACCTCAGCTTTAACCCCTCTCTACCCCTGTACACACGCTAGGCGCTGCCCAATTCCCCTTTCTAGCAACTGTCAGCGCCACTCCTTGCTCATTCAGCAACCTTCACTTTATACCAACGGTTATTCACCAACGTGCTCTTCACTACCGCCAGCACAATCTATATACTCAAGAGTAGGCAACGAGGCCGCATAGATGACTTCAGCCTCCCCTCCTCACATCAGGCGTGTAAACAGTTCACGCAATTACGGTGAATCGCCTTATGGAGACTACGACCGCCGGAGCTCCACACTCACAACCGCGACGACGATCGAGTACCATCGGCTGGACCCAAACTCAAAGAGCCTTGAAGCACTGGTCTTCTCCAGCGAGGACTATCCTGATGGAGATCTGAGTGCGACGGGACGTGAGAGAGAAAGGGAGAGGGAGAGAGAGTTTGGGATGCGACGTGTTTCCAGTGCTGGAGGACGGGAACGCGAGCACTCGAACTACTATGGCAGCCCTCTCTCCCCGCTGTCACCCCGCGAACGCGAGCGGGACAGGGACAGGGACAGGGAACGCGATTCGCAGCTCCAACCGTCTAACAGCAAACGGCTGACAAAGACCCGCCCAGCCCCTGGTTCGTTCCCTCCCGACGCGCCCTCTGGCACCCCTCCAGCGAACGCGAACGGGGAGCAACAACCGCGAATCTCAAGAATGCCCTCCCAGTCACAGCAGTACGGAAACGGTTATCCAGGGCGGCAGCGAGAATCTACAGCTCCTACCATATCCAACCCGGCACCTCTGACGGCATCCCGGCCTCCTCCACCACCACCGCCTTCGAACAAGATGGACGCGTTCGGCGCGTCGCCCATGTCTGCTATCAGCGTTGTTTCGTCTTCCCAAGTACAAATGTCGAACAGCGGTCTCCTCCCTTCTCCCTCAATCACCCCCACTCCTCTTACCGCAGGGGCCTTGTCCTCTTTCCAGGCGACGCCCAACCCATATGCGGGACGCCCACCCCCGCCTAGGCCAAGCAGGCAGAACACTGTCAACCTACTGGAGGACCCGTCTGTACCCGTACCTATGTCTGCACCCCTCCCGTCATCGCAGATGCTTGCCAGTCCGCAGTTGAGCATCCCCCTCCCTTCTCCCTCCGTCTCTGGCTCACCGAGCGACATCTCTCCTGGTGCAATTTCCCTTCCGGTAAGTCCCATGGTGGGCAGCGCAGAAGACGACTATACCCTAGTAAGCGGAGAAGCGCAGAAAGAAGAGGGAGAGAAGAAACCTATTTTTGGACGACAGCGAAGTAATACCCTTGGGAAGAGCAAGAAGGGCATGCTCGGTATTTTCTGGAATGGTACAGTGTTTTCCGTGTGGCCATGAAAGAAGGAAACTCATATATGCGTGTTTTCTCTCTGCAGGGCTCATGTCGAACAATCAGCGACCGGGTATCTCCGCGCCCTACGATCCGGTGCATCTCACGCATGTAGGGTTCAACTCCTCCACAGGAGAATTCATTGGCCTGCCAAAGGAATGGCAGATGCTCTTGCAAGAATCTGGCATCAGCAAGCACGAGCAGGAAGCCAACCCCCAAGCGGTGATGGACATTGTCCAGTTCTACCAAGAGAGCCAGCGGAAGCCCGACGAGCCGTGGATGAAGATCGTCGACAACGGCCGCGGGCCGGAAGAGGACGGCGAGGAAGACTGGGCTGGTACTGGGGGAACGGGCTCCCGTACCCCGCCCTCGGGGGCTTCACCCGTCCAACCACCCTTCGCGCAGGGGATGATGTCCCTCCAGCAGGCACAGGTCTCCCCTCCCCCTCCACCAGGAGAAAACGAGAAGCCCGCACGGGCGCCGTCTCTCGTAAGGAAGAAAAGCTCTGCTTCGCGTCTCGCTGGTTCCCGGCCTGGAACAGGCAGCGGAGCCCCGATCAGCGCGATGCCCTCTTTTGTGTCTCCCCCCATTCCTACGCCCGCGACGCCTGCCCAGCCTCAGGCACGCGACCCCCATTCCCCGCCATATAACAACAAGATCCCCCCTTCTTCCCAGCCTCTTCCCCCGTCGCTCGATCGGACCCTATCGACAACCCATCATAGTCCGACGCATATACCTCCCGCGCATCAGCACCAGCCAATCCAGCCGCACGCAACGCTCCCGCATATGGTACCCGGGGGCCCGCACAGACCTGCACCCCGTCCTCCGCCTGGGCCATCGCCCCATGGTCTGCCGAACGCTTCCCGCCCTGCTCCTCCCCCTCCGGGCAGTGCGGCTGCCGCAGCGCTGCACAAGGTGCCTGGTACCTCGAACACCCCTGGTCCCACTGCTCGTCCTAGGCAGCCGAAGAAGCCCACCAGGACAGCAGACGATAAGGAGGTCGAAGCGCGTCTGCGTGCGATCTGTACCGACGCAGACCCGACAAAGCTCTACCGCAACCTTGTCAAGATCGGCCAGGGCGCGAGTGGGGGGGTATACACCGCCTACCAAGTGGGGACAAACTTGCTCGTGGCAATTAAGCAGATGAACCTGGAGAAGCAACCTAAGAAGGACCTGATCATTAACGAGATCCTCGTTATGCGCTCCAGTAGGCATCCGAATATCGTCAACTTCATCGACTCGTTCTTGCATAAGGGCGATTTGTGGGTAGTGATGGAGTATATGGAGGGTGGCAGCTTGACAGACGTCGTCACGGCCAATATCATGACAGAGGGGCAGATCGCCGCTGTCAGTCGAGAGGTGTGCGAGGGCCTGAGGCATCTCCATTCCCACGGCGTCATTCACAGGGATATCAAGAGCGACAATGTTCTTCTGAGTCTGATGGGCGATATCAAACTGAGTACGTGACTCCTCTTGCCGAAGGGTGGATTGCTGAATTTGTGTTTTCTCTTTCCCAGCCGACTTCGGCTTCTGTGCGCAGATCTCTGATGGACACGCGAAGCGCACCACTATGGTCGGCACACCGTACTGGATGGCTCCAGAAGTCGTGACCCGGAAGGAATATGGGCCCAAAGTTGACATCTGGTCCTTGGGAATCATGGCCATCGGCAAGTCGCCTCCTGCCTACCCTTGTTCCTAGCTAACACGCGCACAGAAATGGTCGACGGCGAGCCGCCGTATCTGAATCAGAACCCGCTCAAGGCGCTGTACCTGATCGCGACAAACGGCACGCCCACGCTCCAGCATCCAGAAGCAATGTCCAACACGTTCAAAGACTTCATGGCGCGGTGTCTGGACGTGGACGTCGATCGCCGACCAGATGCGCCGACCCTCCTGCAGGTACGGCTTCTTTGATCCCGTGCACGTGAAATAAAATACTGATTGTGCGGCGGCAGCATGGGTTCTTCAAACGCGCCGAACCATTGAGAACCCTCGCGCCTCTCATCAAGGCCGCGAGGGAGGCAGCGAAGAAGAACTAGGTGGACGGTTGATACCTGGTTATCAGTCTGATTTTCTTCTTTTATGACTGTCGTTCTATATGTCTTCTTGCGGACCTGTGCAATTACATAGATATCCCGTTGCTCAGGGGGGTAAACAAGTGGAAATTTTGTGATCGAATCCAGCCCAGAAGCCGTCCTCAGCAGCGGAACTGTCATTCAAGCGGCCCCATGTCCACGGACGTTGGGAAAGCTGTGTGGAAGAACGATTGAATGGGGCTGGCCGTCGGTGATCTCCGACCCTTATTTGGAATTTCTATATGTCGAAACGTTGGTCCCCACGGAAGCAAATCAATGCGAAAAAGAGAGGCGCTCGATCAACACTCTGCTGCGTGTTCTTGCCACCCGAACGTAGCAACTCATGAATATGTACGAGTTTTCTTGACGACGTTTCTTGGGCGGCACCATGTTGGCAGCTTCGCTCAAACTCTATTTCACTTCTTGGCTTCATGACGCATGCCAGTGCGTCTCTTTACATGACTTATAGCGCCGAATAGCGGGCAGGCAACAACGCCCTGCAACGCCTTTATTCCAGATGCCTTCACTATTGACGACCTTGACAAACGATCGACAGATTTTAGGGCACCTATTGTGCACCTATTGTGCACCAATCCCGGCCTCCGAACGGCCTCCACTCGCATTTTGTCTTCTTTTTCCTGCCAGAAATCTCGACATGCAATCCATATCGAGATTCCAATCCAATGGCTAGCAATCACCGATTTGTGTGCTGGCGAAGCGTACCTCCCGGGAAAGGAAGGGGCTAGCCCTCGCGAGAAACGATTTTTCAGCGTCTGCTTTCACACTTCGCAGCGAAGGGCAGAACGGTCAAGAATCTCAGCTGGGACGAGACTTTTGACACTGAGCTCCAAGCAGCTCAGGCGCCTTCTTCCCACTATATCCCGGGATCCACTGACTATAAAAGCATGCCAGTTCTAGTCCACCCTCCATAACTCACCAATCTCCTGTCGCACAGAGCCTAATATCAACATGTCGACTGTTGCTCGCCGCGCAATTTCTAACCTCCGACGTGGCAGACAGCCTATTAAGCGTGTAACGAAGGCATGCTTCGCCTGTCAAAGAGCGTAAGTCATTGACCATGCTGTGTTCACCAAGTCTCCTAACTCTCCCTCAGGCACGTGAAGTGCTCCGGAGAGATACCCCAGTGTGACCGCTGCGCCAGGCGAAACGTATGTATCGTGCTGCTGCTTCCAACTGTTGTATTTAAGTCTTCACCCAGCAAGAATGCGGGTATATCCCAGGCAGAGATGGTCGAAGCAATAAAGCCACACGTGCCACCATATCCGTCGATCCTTCTTCCAGTAACTCTGCTGCGGACTCAGGTGCAGACATCACCGCCTCTGCCCATGTAGACGACCCGTTTTACGGAACACCAACCGCGGCGAATGCGGACTCGACTGTAGAGGAAAATCCGAACCCTTTCGAGCAGGATTGATCTCGGTCAACAGGGTGCGATGAAAGACGGAGATGCGGCCGACATTCGGGTCGTTCGGTTCAGCCCCATCACCCAAAAAATGGCAGGTGCGTGCTCCAAACCTTCATCGGTGTATGTGTATGCTTAAATTTTCTCAGCGAATAAGTGACGCTCGGTGGTGAAATGTAGATAGGTTCGGAAAAAAGGCTAGGTTTGCGTAAATGTGACCAGTCTGATGCGCACCGTAAGACGCCTGAGTTATGTCCAACTTCTCTTCCTCTCAATACGTTGCTGCTCTCCATTCGTTTCTTGTCCGACTAGCATGGCGGGGACCCTGCGTACGAAACAGCTCTCGCTTTTCTCCTACTCATGGATTGGTCTAGACGGAGTTCAGACCTTGCCTGTGACGCATCATGCTAAGGCGTGCCTTCAGCATACATATCCTCTCTCTAACTCCTTCTAGATCGTGCCAAGTTTCTTATCTTGTTACACTCGCACAGACAAGAGCCAGGAATCCCTACGAAGCGGCGAAACATTGATTTGCCAACCGATAGGTTCCTAAAGCAACCAAGCGTGCACTCAGCTGTCGGAAGGCTTTAAACTGTCCCCGAATGAATCGAGCGCACAGCGAACTATGTCAAGCGGTGACTGAGTGTCTGTCCATAGCCAGATTCAAATAGCAGTGGTCCACCAGCGGCTAGCGCGCTCAGCCCTCTTTAGCTGCGTCACTCCGTATTCATCAAGTCTTGTGAACGATTTCACTATTTGATAACTTATAGCTTGGAAAGCGAGTGGGACGATTGAGGCATTTCCACCTCATTTCCGCGCGGCGAATGAGATATTAACGATAGAGGCCAGAATTGCGCGTTGTTGGTACTTGACGCAACGAAAATGCTTGGGCCAGCACCGGTACCGAATCAGGGCAAGGGAATTCACAGCGGAAGGTGAGAATCGTAACGTTCGCAAATTCCAGACATGGGTACCTCGAATTCAAAGGGCTTCGTCCACGAAGAACGCTTGCTATATGGCGATTTCTGGATTTCACGCTGGATCAAAGAATCAGGGTAGTACCAGAGTATGCAACAGCAGCCGTGACTCGTCGTCTACATCCAGCCTCGCTGCCGGCAGGTAGCTAACGCCGTCCAACTAGCCTAAGCGAGCCGCCAGCACCAGCCGATCGATCACCCGCCGCGTGTGGCGAGACGGAATTGTGCCAGCAAACAAACCTTCGGCACCGATGTTGGGGAGTAGTCAAACGTCAAGCTCATCAGCATTAATCCTAGCAATTACGCGGGCATAATGCATACCGCGTCTTGACGTTTTGCAATGATCCAAAATCACCAAAAGTTGTTTGCATCCGCGCGGTTCGGCGCTGCTCTGTGTACCAGCCCCTCTGCAACAGGACGTGCCCCTTTGCCTCTCTACCCTGGCTGACTGCTGGAGAATATTTCATCAACTGACGAGATTGGGCTGCTATCTGTGCTCGTATGGCTGGCAAAACGTATTGCTGCGTATCTTGGTGTAACGCCAATATCTGATGCCGTTGATGATGCGCTCACCTCCCAGGTGTATCACTTCCCATTATGAACGTAAATGGACGCAATGAGATGATACGAGTATGGACCTGCGCGGGGTAACAGTAATGCAATCTTGTCATACATTTCACGGTCGATCTTTCGGCAGGAGCTTTGCACGTCGGCAGAGGCGGGCGCACGCTTCGCTATGCGACGCCTATCAAGGTTTCCGGACGCGTTGATCTATGGATACTTGACATAGACGGTTAATGGGACCTGGAGAGACCATTGGAATTCTTGGGTGACAATGGTCGGCGGGTCAGAAGCACTTCCGATCCGAATACATGTGCTCCTGATCCCGCTGGGACTTCTGTGAGACTCAGGCCACGCATGCCCTGATGTCCACTATGCTGGAATGAGAATCGGCTCCATGGCTCCTATACGCCATGTCGGAAATGCTGTTGCTTAGCAGGCGGATGTTGGCGACGGGATACCCTGCCATTCTTGGTTGCTCGGAGGATTAGACAGGGGTTTCGTTCCCACCGAGACCTGGAACTTGACCCGAAACATCGACATCAACTGCTGATCACAAACACACCAAATGCAAGCGAATAACAACAACGCGTTTGTCTTTCCGGAGGCTGTAGGTTCCGAAGAACATTGGCCGATCTATCTGGATGACTATTCCATGACTCTCTTCATCACTGACCAGCCTTAGCGAGCCCTCTGGGTGGACATTGGTTCGCCTGCTCTCCCGAGATTGGACGTATTGGATAATGAGACGATGCTCATGCCATCCCACGGAAATGGTGGGCGTATCATTGCCGCACGGATAATCGAGTGCGTGACCATCATCGCAACAATAGAAGTGCATCACTTCCTCTAGCTCACTCATTCGTCAGCCCGGTATAAATGCCCTCTGTCATGCAGCGTTGTACCTCAGGAAACCGAACTCAAATCGCCTCCTCAACCGAACAAGTATTCCTGCATATAACATACCCTGTTCTGTCGACGACATAACAATGGCTGATGCAATTGATTACACTCAACACGGCGGTCACGCGTCTATGGCTTGCGAGAAGTGCCGCAAATCGTTGGTTTCTTCCCAACATGCAGGATGCGCTCTAACGTGAAACATAGGAAGAAGAAGTGTGAGGCGGGAAGCACTCCAGGCACTTGCAAAGCTTGCGAGACCGCTGGGGTGCGCCTTCATCACTGAGTCTGTAATACTAGCCATTCATGCTGATGGATGCACGGCGATAGGTTGGATGTGTTTGGGGCAAAGATGGGAGGAATAAAAGCGGCAATAGCGGCAATTAGTCCTTTGGGTGTAGCCAGGGGGTTGGTGATGGCCACAGTATGTTGCCGAATTTCTGCCATCAAAAAACCCGGCTTATGTGACTTTAGACGCAAACCTAACAAGGAGGAGTATGGAGGATAGGGGAATCAAGCAGGGGAGACCACTTTATCCGTAGTTAAACATTGTGGTTGCGTATGAATTGCAAGATGGTCAGATGTTACCTGACTAGATGTCGACACATTGCGTCCGTCCGGCAGCTGTAATGACAGGAACAACCGAAAGGCCAAAGGCGTCAAGTCTCCGCATATTCTGTTCCTACGACAGCGCATGCCACATTAGCCCCTTTATCACGATGATCTTTGAAATCATATGGCAGCACTTTCTCTATATTTGCATTTCGGCGTCGTCTCTAGAGGCAGGGTGTGAAAATGATACTCTCCGCCCCGGATTCAGTATGTTATGCGAACCAACCCGCCTAATAATTCCGGTATCCCGTAAGCGAGCTCGCTTCACACTATAAGCGCTCACGGCAAATATTGTTCCTGTCCCGAACATATCTTGATCCCGTCCAAACTGGCTTACTTGCCGCAACTCAATCGCCCTGTCGATGGCTTCGCAATTCTCACGCCAGGGAAACATGTGTTTTGTTGCTCTGATGCTTCTCCTTGGGTTGAGACACAGCCGCTCTGCATGTTAAAGGGTGCAAAATGGAGAAATATATCATTTTCTATTATGTCAACACCTTTACGATGCATCACACCATCAGATGTCCCTGCTTCCGTCCGAGTGCCAACCATGAGAAGGTAAGAAGCCCCGTCCCTCCCAGCATGCATACCTCGTGGAATGTTCAGTTACACTGGAGACACATGGGAAAACAGACTTACGCCGGCAAACACGCATGGCCTGTACCAGATGTACGGTGGACTATTGCCCACTAGTGCTCCCGTGATTGGTGTTCCTGTGAGACCAGCAAATGCCATAATGAAAATGGAAAATCCGAACCGAATGCCGATCTCAAAGACGTGGTCTGACATGATGGCAAACATGGGCGCCATAAGACTGATAACTAACGCCAAATGTGTAAGTGAAAGGTTGATAATACACCGGTGAACGTACAGGCTCCGGAAAACAGACCGAATCTGATGAGCAGCGTCAGTCATTTGTCACAAGTCCTCACGGCACGACAGCTCACAACACACAGAAGACTGTGACTCCTGCCATATTGGTGCACGCAATCAGAATCAACAATAAGATGGCCGATACCGCAGTTGACGGAACAAGCAAAGGCATTATACCGGTCTTGTCCGCGAAGACGTTTGGCAAGGTTCTACATGGACAATTTCAATGGCGGAGGCAGAAACCCAAAAACACGTAGCTTACCTCCCTATCATTGAAGCTGCGTTGATAATGGCAATCTGCAGGCGCTTAATCAGGAGAGCCGCTGACGGCAACTGATATGTGACACACGGTATAGAATGCATAGTTGTCTGATAAGCCGTGACTGGAAGCAAACAGTTGAATGTAGAAGACTAGCACATATCCAGAGCCTGAAAGTCACCAGAAGGAATAAAAGCGTACAAGGGTAGACTGTCTCTTGGGTAAGAATTGGCAAGGAACATGGGCCAAAGGTGGACATACAAAGACCCCACCAGACAAGGACCATTCCCAGTACTGCGGTGATGTACGGAGGATCGGTGAAGAAGCGGCGTAAATCAGGCTTCGGATGATCCTTCTTCGGAGCTAAGCGTGGAGAAGCCAGCAGGTTGGCGGCCAACAACAGCCCTAGCATAATGAAACCCGTGATACGGACCGCCCAAACGTATCCAACTTCAACAAACAAATTACTCAGCAAAACTGGGCCACGGATCAGAGATAAGCCATTGGGAGGACTTAGGAAGGCTGACTGGGGAAGACAATTCCTCCGGTGGAGGAGCCAGACTGAACAACTCCAATCGCTAGAGCGCGTCGTTTCTGGAAGTAGTGGGATATGATACTGATGGCCGGGAGGTATAGCATCCCACCGCCAATTCCTTGCCCGACTGCTTGGCTGAGAAAGACCTATACCAACATCATGTTGGGTGCCTGGTGGTGGCAAGGTAGGTAGATGCACACCTGATAGTATTGGTCGTGTTGCGCAGCGCTTTGCGCAAACAAACTTCCGACCATGATCACCATCCCACCTATCATCAAATGCCTGAAGTATCCGGCGTCAAACAATCTCCCCGTTGGCAATCCCATAGCGAAGAGAAAAAAGAGTTGAAGGGAGCCGATCCATGAGATTGCGGACGTTGAGGAGGACGGAAGCATCGTCTGCACGTAATACGACTGATACACGCCGTAGGCATTGGTGTAACCAAATGTACAGACAAGGCAGAGCCAAGCACCGGCGACTATACCAAAGTAGTCAGTGTCAAATCAGGAGATATTATATGATTCGCTATCCCCACCTGTGAGCCAGCCCCGCAGGCCACCTTCCGGGTACGTATGGTGTGGCAACGTCGGTGCGGATGCGCGATCGGCAGGTTTTTCCTGCCCCTGGACTACAGCCTCGATAGAGGATGGTGTTGGAAGCTCCAAAGATCCCTCGCCAGATGGCCGTGTCTTTTCGTGAGTTCCCCCAGCACTCCCATTGCTAAGAGTCATTTGCGAATCCATAGTAGTTGTCGTTCGTAGAGGTTCAAGAGGAGACGCTTATGGAGATATGCAGTAAGCCCTCATTTCCACTGAGTGTACACGCCAGCGCTGCATGAATTCCACGGTGAAGAAGATGGCCCAGAGATGAGCGTCCGAGGATATTGGGGGAAAACATAGCGGGCTGAAGGAAGCCGGCGTTGACGTCCCTGATTTGTGTCGGCGGAATTTTCCGCCAGATGAATGGAAGTGGAGGCTGACTAATAAAAGCTCAAGGTCTTTTTGGGGCTGATACAGTCTGCGGAAGCGACAATGGCCGTACAGCTTTTTATACAATTCTGTGCTCCTTGCCATAACACCAAGAACAAAATGTGGACATATGTCATGCACATCAAAGTCCACTCATATATCGCAAATTTGCGTATTTTCAAGCACGTACGAAACTCTACAGTTTTCACGTATGTTGTATGTACTACAACATATTGCGTACCGCACCTTTACATGTCTCAAAGTCCCAATATCGGTCCCACCATTTATGTGTCGGAGATATGGGAAACCTCTTGGCGATTGCTGTCTGAAGCAGATCGAATGCCGAGGATATTGGGAATCATTCGGATCACATCAGGATGTTGGAAACTCCACATCACAGTTACTATGGGACCAAGCGCCCTTAGGTGCCGCCCACGGCTACTGAGTGTGGCACGAGGAATCCAAGGAAAAGGCTGTATATACCCTTAAACGAGACTTAAAACTATGCACTAGCGGTCTGGGTGAGGTTGTCGATTGTAGCGCTGCCGCGCTGCCGAGCGTTGAACATGTGCAAGCATGCAGTTTAGTGTCACTCTGGACAAGAGAGGCAGCCAACGGGATCTCCCATTCTTTCATAATCCTGGGGGGAACCCACTAAAGCCCATCCAAATATTTTGAAATAAACCGATCGCTGTTGCACCGGTCGAGTTCTTTGTCAAACCAACCTTGATATTCTGAATTCTCTCCACCACCTGCCATATTTGGAGTTTACACTGTATTTTGTGCATGCATAGAAAAATGCATTCCTGTAGACGCACCACCTAAACACACTTGACCTCAATATCGGATGGGTCGAAGAAAAGAAGGGGATAATAGTTTTTGATAAGAAAGACCAGCATAACGTCCACGCAAGCTGTCGCGAGCCGGCAGGCGATTCGCTGGATGTGATTCGCTGTACATGAACCCGTGCGGAAAAGAAGCACATGTCGGCGGCCCTCGGCGAGCGCTTTACTTGACTGCTTCAGCTGCACTGTTCCCAGGTACAGCAGGAAGAAAGGAACCCTGCAAATACGTCTCTCTCCATGCCTCCGCAATGATACTTCAGATGGGGTTTCCCAGCCCGCTGATGTGTGTGGGATGCCACTGTTGGCACAGCTCGACGGACCGTAGACAACATCCATTCTTCTTCCTCTAACCCTGACAAGAGGTATGAATGACCCACTAGTATTAGTGAGAGCACCTGAATTTCTATTTTTGCAAGTTGACAGGCTTTGGGCCTTGTCTGAGTGTTCAGTAATCGACTCAAATCAGCACACAACACGATATTCCGGATGACGGGAGGGGAGCTTATCAAATAATACGGTGAGATTGGAAGCAATGCGACATGAGGCCCTTCCAATGCCGCGTGGTAGAGAGAATATGAAGCATCATATAAGTCGTCGAAACCGGGATCCCAATTCATCCCGGAGCATTCTGCGCATTCCTGGCTTTGGCAAGTCGACTCACTGGTGCTGGGTCGCCGACCCTCACGCATTACAGTGGCCGGCAAGGTATCATTATCCTCCTTTCGTGATTATTTGACTAGACCAGTAGAGTAGGGGCACAAATGCTCGCGCGATAATTCTTCAATCAGTAGACGGCATTGTAACACCTTGATTGACTTGCCGGGAAAGCACGTTCTCGGATTTTTGCTTCTTTCAGGCTGGCGGCACATGGAACTGACTTCGCCAAATGGTCTTGTCCTAGGCACCTGTAATAGACTGTGAGGGTATAAAGCCACAGCCCTGGGAAGGCTTACTAGCCAGAGTTCGCCTCACACCGCCTACCATCTCCCTTCTTTAGCGCCTTCTTTTCCCTACCGTTCTCCCCACCAACCACTACCACTACTCCCATTACGACAATGTCAAAAGCCAGTCGTAATAATGCAACAGAAGCCTGTCTGCGCTGCGAGAGGGCGTCTTACAGAGAAGGGAAAGCAATTGTGCGCTGTCCTGTCAAGGGAGTCAGTTCTGCTCTGACCACAAGTGGTCCTTGTTTAGAGATGCCTACTCACCGGCATCGACGAAAGGCGTAAAGAAGGCCAGACGCAGCCATCTTCGGATGCCACTGGCCGAACTGAGACGCCCTCCGAAGGCTAGTGCAAGTTTGAACGTGCATCATAGCACACAGACAAAGTTGTGGTCCAAGAATTCTGACTCCAGCTGATGTGTAGCCTCAACACACTTCCCTTGTTTTTATGTCCTTCACCATGCTGTCAGGGAGCGGCTCAAGCGAAGTCGTCGATGCCTGTACTTCCACATATGTATTATGTCCAATATGATATGCCATGCTGCGTAAGCAATCTGTGGGGAATCGCCTCCACCGTCCACACAGCGCAACAGAAGACTATTGTAAATCTTGAGAGACCACGTTCTCTGGCACCCTTGATAACAGAACAATAGAGTGAGCCGTTCTTGGGGACGCGTGATCCTGCCCCAGTTGACTTTGAATGTTGATCGGTCCGCCTCGGGACCCGACGCACATTCAACAATGCCGCGCAGAGTATCCTTCGAAGAAGACATCACAACCAGCACTGCCGTACAATGCAAGCGAAATCCGGGGCTCGGATTTGTATATCAGAAGCAACTAGTTGGCGTGCGTGCGCCGCATCTACTGCACTGAGACGATGGTGGAATGTGATGCTTCTGAGCGCTGCCTTTTCACGCTTCTTCCGACAGAACCTCCAAACAGGCAGCTTCCAATGGCGGCCATACAGCATGCAGAGACACCAGCAGGTGCGAGCAGATAGCGTCGCCAGAAATAATTGTATCGTGAGCGCTAGAAGGCGCCCAGTACGCGCTCAGTTCTGGCGGCGACCGAAGCAACCTCTGGGTTAGAAAATTCCTCTTTGATCCAGAACGTTGCACAAGTATGATCCGGAGCATGGTTACTGGGATCCACGGTACTCATAGGGCTGTCGGCCAGGTTGGCCAGCGCGAGCCTCGGGTTGCACCGCAAAGGGTCACCATATAAGAAGATCTGTATAGAAGCAAGGTTTCACTGATTCCTTCACCGAAGCTACACGATATAAGCAGTATTGAGTCTGTGATATGGAAAGCTCGTTGGATTTCGACTTGCCAGGCAGTGGTGGTGAGGCAGAAGTGAGGCTTGGAGCAAGGAACCCCCTGATGCTTCCGGGGGTGGTCGGGCGGGATCATTACATGCGGGTGCGGTACGAGGGCGATCACTTCACAGTAGATGGCCATCTCCCAGCCATCGAATGCTCTTTTCTCTCTTTTTCTTTCAATTATGTCCACCGTGCAACTCTAATGGATTCTGTCCACAACGAAGACACAAACGAGACCGACAACATAAATCAATTATCCCGTGCATCTGCATCAACCTCCACGCTGCAAGCTGTCACACACTCTGGGCGTTCCTCTCGCGCCGGTCGTGTCCGGAATACTGTCAAGGTCGCCGAAACCGCAAACTCCACGCCCGTTCTCGATCTTCCCCAATCTAGTCAATCGTCAACAGGAGCAACTCTTGGTCGTAGACGTACGAGAGCCTCAGCGGCAGCTGAGCAGCTTCAAGCTCACCCGCCTCGCGAGTCATCGCCTTCATCGTCCGTCGTCGCCGTTGTCAGGGACAAAGGGAAGAAGCGTGCTGCATCTCCAGAACCAGCGAAACCCAATAAACGGTAAGTAGTTTATTTAGGATTTACATTATCGATCACGTTCTCGCGTGATCCGTCATGAGTGAGCTTCTTGGCCTCTCCCAACTGCTTTGACTCGCCGGTGTAATGCACTGGCGTGTCGTGGCGTAACACCTATTTATTCCTTCTGCATTTGATGAACCGTCACTCACCCTCCTATTATCTTTTTATTATGCCTAGATCCAAGCGTACATCTACTGCTCCAAGCGGCATCGTCATCAACAAGCCCGCTGTTGACCCGAAGGGAAAGAAACGCGTGGCCCCATCAAGCTCGTCCGAGGCGGAGGAACGTCCAACCACTAAAAGGCGTCGAACGACCAGCAGCGCGCCAGCAACCACGGAATCCACACGCGCCAGTACCGCACAGGGAAGGAAATCTAAGGAAGAATCCACTGCTATGCCCCGGAAAGCGAAGTAAGCGCCAACCCTGTGACTCATATCCACGTGTCTGAATCTCAGATTCAGGACCTCGGCCAAAGGTAAAGAACCTGCTGTCATGAAGGGAACGGCTAAGGAGACTGGTACGCATATATCCTCAGTGCAGCAATAGGCTGACATAGAGCCAGCATCGGAACTAATGGACGAGGAGGGCGATGTGGTGATGGCGTCTGGCCCAAGCAGTATTGCGTCTGGTGATGAGCACGAAGAGGCGCACGAACATATCCCCATCCATACCAGCGAAGATGGAAACGAAGAAGTCGAAGGAAGCGGTTCCGAATCCGAGAAGTCCGACGAAGACCAGGAAGGCAATAAGCATATCTTACTTGATACCGCCACAAGCGCCCCTGCTGCACCGTCCGCGGCCCCACCCAGGCTCAGTGCTTTTGAAGATGCTGCTGCTGCACTTTTCGGTGGAAGCTATAACAGCATCACCGGATACATGCTCGGCCTATCACCCCGTTTTAAGGGGATACTCAACAATCTCAAGCAGGAAGCCAACCCCACCCAGCGTTTGATGGCGCTGCAGGAACTGAGTGAGCTCCTGAGCATGAGCACGGAAGAAACCCTTGCTGGCCACTTCGCGGTCGAGAGTTTCATCACTGAATTGCTGAAGATCATGGGGGGCACTGGCATGCCTGAGGATGAGGATGAAGAGGACGGCGCTGGGGAAGGTGGCAGCGGCGAGCATAAAGCGGGGGAGAATGACAATGACGCTAGTCTTGGGCGTGGTTCAGCGCATCAGGGTGTTGGTGGTGGTTCTGCTGTCAGTGGAGGCGGTAGAGATGCGTTCGGTTTTGGTGACTTCGAAGATGAGGATGCTCAGTTGCGCGCCGCGATGGCACTCAGCACCGGCGGCAGTTTGATGAACGGCCTTGATATAGAGGCCCAGGTACTGGCATGCCGGTGTCTAGCAAATCTGCTCGAAGCACTTCCTGGTTGTGCCCACACTGTCGTTTACCATGGCGCTGTACCAGTTTTGACCAGCAAGCTGGTACAGATTGAGTACATTGATCTTGCAGAACAGACGTTGACCGTGAGCATGCTCCATTCTCACATTCGGCCTCTGAAAATAATGCATCTTGTTAGACTCTTGAGAAGATTTCTCAGGAATTTCCTTCCGCTGTTGCCCGAAATGGCGGTCTTTCTGCGTTGTTGACCTATCTCGATTTCTTCTCCACAAATGTTCAACGCACCGCCCTTTCAGCCGCCGCCAACTGCTGTCGTGGTCTTTCTCCGGAGAACGCGCCCATGGTCAAAGAAGTCTTCCCAATAATCAGGAATGTGCTTTCGTATTCCGATCAACGTCTACTGGAGTCAGCTTGCCTCTGCGTCACCAGGATCCTCGATTCCTACCGAAACCGACCGGACCTGCTAGAAAGCATCGTCGATGGCGATCTCGTCGGGGCAATCAACACCGTTCTTCATCCTTCGGGCGGTTCTCCACTGGTTTCAGCAACATCTTATGCTCAGATGCTGCGGTCCCTCGCGATTTCAGCTAAGACCAGTCCCAAAGTGACGATCACATTATTGGATGGCGGAATCACGGAAACGTTATACCAGATTCTTACTGGTGTTCTCCCCCCTGCGTACGAAAACGGCGAGGAACAAGGCCAAGGGGAAGGAGGGCAGGGCCTTGGTGGTGGTTTGGCAGATATGGCAGTAATGGAGAATCTAGCCCACAAGCCGAGAGAGCAGATAGAGGAGAGTCTTGCACTCATCTGTGAGCTAATGCCCCCCCTTCCAAAGGAGGGCATCTTCGACGCAAAGCAATATACAGAGAAGGCGCTAAACAAGACGCTCAAGGCGAAGCGGAAGTCAGAGCGCGCCGCCGCCCGTGCTGCTAAAGCTCAAGGACAGAGTGGCTCAGCATCTCCGTCTCTTGACCCCCAAGACGATAGCTTCTTCAGTCTGCCGGTTGAAGAAGATATCCCCCCGCGATCTGCAACGCCTTCTATCAAAGAAGATCCTGATGCACCACCGAGCCGGACCGATATCTTGCGAGAACATGAACACGTTGTGATGCGTTTTATGCGCCTCATCCTCCCGATCCTAGTCGACGTATACGCCGCGAGCGTGGCTATGAGCCTCCGTAATAAAGCGATGGCCAGTATTCTCAAAGCAATCGCCTTTCTCAGTGGGGATGAGCTGAATAACATCCTTCGGGTACGTTGACCTGTGATTACGTCTCAAATGTCGCTTATTGTACGCGTACAGTATGTCCCAGTGGCCAGCTTCATCGGCTCCATAATTTCGTCCAACGATCAAACGAACTTGGTGGTCTCTGCAGAAATGCTCATCGAACTCTTGTTGACCAAGTTACCAGACGTCTATAAACCATCCTTCCGTCGCGAGGGTGTTTTGGATAGTCTTGAGTTTCTCGCAGATCGGGAGCTAAAGAAGCCGGCTCCGAAGAAAGAGAAGGAATCATCTGCTGACGCCGTTCCCCCAATTCCTGCTGATGGATCAGATCTTCCTCTTCCTCCTCCCGTGCCGAGTAGCAAACGACATCACTCTCACGTTCCGGATCCACAGGATGTGGTGACCCTTAGAGCAAGAACTATTCGTGCCAAAGATCTCATCAACATGAAGGACGATGAAGGAAGTGTCACCACGACGCAGCTGAAGAAATTGGTTGATTCTTTACGCCTCTCGGACACCACCGAATCCTCAATCAAGAAGACATTGAAAGGCATTGCTGCTTTTTTCCCGCCCGACGAATCAGTGTCCAGCTTTGAGCTCATGAAGACCGATTTTGTGCAGGCTCTTCTTGAATTCATATCTCGCTCTGACGTAGCAGGTGAGCCTCCGGATATCTGAGCCTCTAGCTACGTACTCAGCCAATTCTTATGACTTGTAGTTCCTGCATCCCGCCGACAGGCTCTGTTCTTAGAAGTCTTCTCTATGCCGCTTGTGCATTATCCTGCCAGTACACCGTTTGCAATCCTGGTGAAAAGACTTCAAGAATTATTAACGAGAATGGAGAAGTTTGAGGTTGTCACTATATCTAGTTCAGATGATCCGAAGCGCGGCGCCTCTGTCATGCTGGCACGTCAAGTTCGTCTACGCCTCGTGGCTGAAGAGGCAAGTGATATCCCGCGTCACTTCCTGTCTTTTGGAACTCAATCACACGCAATCTTAACATTCCGAGCCTTGGAATCTTATCTTCACGAAAGAATCTTGAAGACAACTCCCCCTCGAATGTCTCACGCCATGAGCGCATTTGGGACCCCCGCTGCCCAACCCTCTCCGGCCAGCAGAGGTGATGTCGGCGAAGGTCCATCAAATGCTGCGGCCAGTTCATCACGGCCTACATCTTCCGCTCCCCCAAGGAATCGGTCAGCTGGAACACGGCGAAGTTTACGGTTGAGTGGCGAAGGCGGTCTAGGCAGTGCTATCCAAGCACCCGTTCCGCAAGCTGCAATTCCTACGTCTGCCCCTTCTGTACCAGAGCCAGAGCCGAAAACACCCGTAGAGAATGAACTGGAGGACGATTCCAGTAACCCGGGAGTTTTTATCGACGATGACATCATCGGCGAGGATGAAGATGAAGACAATACACCAGCAGAGACAACAGTTGATCTCCGAGTCACTCCTGATGGGACCGGGATTGTTGCAGAGACTCCTGGAGGTACTAGGGTAGCGACCCCAAGTATGAACACACACGCACGGGTACCTCCGTCACCTTTCCGACCTTCGTCATATGCTGCAGTGTTGAAGGCTCCCCCAACAGACTGGCATTTGGAATTCACGTTAGATGGCCAAGCCTGTCCGATGGACGCGACTCTTTTCGGTATGTTGTATAAGGCGCAGATACAGAAAGCAGGCAGCTCTTTAAATGTTGCACCGGGGATATTCTGGTCTATGTCCCATACTCTCAAGTTCAAGAAGGTTCCTGGACCAATACTAGAAGGTGTGTTGAAGGTTTTGTATGGCGGACGGGTGTTGACTCCGTCGTATAGGAACTTCTGAGGGCTCATCTCGTCTGGGTGGATCTCCTCAGCTGTCTTGCATTCCTCGGGAAGCTACCCACTCCTCTATCGTGCTGCTTTTGCGCGTTTTGCACAAGCTGAATGATGAATGGGCGGATCGTGCGTTGCCTACTGGGTCTGGCGAGGTGCTTCCGGAGTCGGCCTTCGTAAACAACAAGCTTTCGGCAAAGCTCACCAGACAGATGGAAGAACTCATGATTGTTGCGAGGTAAGCTTGGCTCCGCATTGTACAAGCCATAGGGGATTGACCTGAGTAATTTTTGGTAGTTCGTGTCTTCCAGATTGGGCAATTGAGCTTCCCCAGAACTTTCCCTTCCTTTTCCCATTCGCTACTCGATATCATTTTGTTCAGTCAACATCACTAGGTTATGCTCGCCTCCTGCTGAGGTGGCAGAACCAGAATGTGCGAGAGTCGGAGGGCTCCAGACGAAACGAACTCAGTCGTCAGCTGAGCCACTTGAGGCGGCAGAAGTTGCGAGTGGCGAGACAACTCCTGCTGGAGACCGCCATCAAGATCATGGACATGGGCTTCTCTATGTCTTCTTCTGTCCTTGAGATCGAGTTCTATGACGAAGTTGGTACTGGCCTAGGACCAACACAAGAGTTTTACGCCCTGACATTCAAGGAATTCGCCCGTCGTGACCTACGACTTTGGAGAGATGCTGATTCACAACAACATGGCGCTTATGTCTATCACCCGAACGGACTTTTCCCAGCTCCTTTCCCTACAAGCCTGAAACCCGACGCGGTCCAGAGCAGGCTGCATCTATTTCGTGTTCTAGGTCAATTTGTGGGCAAAGCCATGTTGGACTCCCGGATTATCGACATTCATTTCAATCGCGTGTTCATGAAGATGATCCGAGGGGAAGAGGTCCCTCTCATTCTGAACACTCTTCGAGTAAGCCATTCACGCCCTATCTACTGCGTTCGTTACTGACATCGATACACAGGCCATTGATCCTGTTCTTGCTAAGTCTGTTGCTCAGATACAAGCGTTTGCAGATGCCAAGGCTATTATCACTCTTGATGACACTATGGTACGTGCCGGCGGGCCCTGCTGTCTGAGAAAAACTCACAATATTGTAGGATGAGGATGAGAAATCAGACGCCATCTTAGACCTACGTATCAACGATGCTGCTCTCGACGATCTTGCTCTTGACTTCACTGTCCCTGGCTACGACATGGAGTTGAAGGACCTTGGACAGAGCACTGCTGTCACCATGGACAACGTTGAGGAGTATTTGGAGCTACTTCTAGAAACTCTTCTCGGTCAAGGTGTCGCCCGCCAAGTGCAGGCATTCAAAGATGGCTTTTCCACCTCGATCCCTGTCAGGGATCTGCAGACATTCACTGCAGAGGAGCTCGTTATGATGTTTGGCAACTCGCACGAGGACTGGTCTGCCGATAGTGCGCATATCTACCAGTTCGAGTGATCAGAAACTGATGATAATTCCAGCTCTTAACGTGGCGGTCAAAGCTGACCACGGCTTCACCTTGGAAAGTCGCCCAATCAGGTATCTCATCAACATCATGGCCAACCTCGATCTGCAGGGTCGTCGTGACCTATTGCAGTTCCTAACTGGGAGCCCGAAGCTGCCTATCGGGGGTAAGCACCAGTTCTACACCGTGCACACCAGTCTGACCCTGGACCAGGATTCCGTGGTTTGAATCCCCCCTTGACGGTAGTACGAAAGCCCCACGAGCCCCCGCTTATCGCAGATGATTATTTGCCGAGTGTCATGACCTGTGTGAATTATCTTAAACTACCGGAGTATTCGTCGGAGGAGGTAATGTTGAGGAAGCTAAAGGTAGCGATGAGAGAGGGTGCGGGGACCTTCCATCTGTCATAATAGTTGTCGCATTCAGATCAAGTCGCTTCGCATACGTCTTTGCTGCACTTCTAGATGTGTCTGCAAAGACTATCTCCATTTGCGCCCCATGCGTTGTTTCCATAGAATGAACCAATATGATCTGTATTTATGCCCATCAGTGGTCAGAGACATCTTGGCCTAAACGCTTCCAGACAGTACCTGACGAGCACGTCTGACTCGATCCGCCCTCCGTAGATTGTGCCCTTTTCTTTCGTCTTCTCCCCCAGCATTTCCTCCTCACTTCTCTATAATGGCAGCCTATGAAGTCTCTTCGAGCGCGTCGCAAGAAAGACAACCGTCCATCGGCTTAATAGGGATGGGAGAGATGGGCCGGATGTACTGCAAAAGATTCTCTAACGCGGGTTGGGCACAGTGCGTACGATTACCTGTCACGTCGACTTGCTTGTTCACCATTGAGCGTTAGCATCAACGTATGCGACCGGCCGGAGAACTTCGAGAATCTAAAAGCAGACGTACAAGGTATGAAGAATTGTTGGGGGAGGCAAATATGCTCATACGAGTTACTAGGCCTCAGTGGCGTATCAGTCCTCAAAGATGGCCATCTCGTATCGCGGGTCTCCGATATCATCTTCTACTCGGTCGAGGCGGAGTACATCGACAAGGTGGTAGCGGAATATGGGCAATGTGCGTACCATCATCATCAAGTTCTCTTTCGGGGATTGAGCCATTGTAGCAACCAAAGTCGGCGCGATCGTCGCAGGTCAAACCAGTGTAAAGTCACCAGAGAAGCTCGCATTCGAGAAGTACTTGCCGAATGACGTGCACATCGTCTCCTGCCACTCCCTCCATGGACCGACGGTGTCAACGGAAGGCCAACCATTGGTGTGCATTGTATGCCCTTCGTGATGTCGTGTCTTGCTCACACACTTCGCAGGTGCTGATCCAGCATCGGGCACCCGACTGGGCATTGCATGCGATGGAAAACCTGCTGGCATCATTTAAGTCCAGATACGTCTACCTAACGTACGACGAACATGATGTCGTGACTGCGAATACTCAGGCGGTCACACATGCCGCTTTTCTTAGGTGTGCTGTCATCGCACCTCATGCAATTATGCCGGTCTAAATCGCTTTATAGTATGGGAACGGCCTGGCATTGTTCCATGTCATATCCATGGGAGATGGGCCAGTATGTCGGTGGCATCGAAACGGTCAAAGTCAATATCATGCTGCGTATCTATGCGAACAAGTGGCATGTCTATGCTGGACTGGCTATCCTAAATCCTTCAGCGCGCATGCAGATCGATCAGTACGCACAGAGCGTGACCGACTTGTTCAAAATGATGATATCAGGCGACGAAGTGGCCCTGAAGAAGCGAATGTACGAGGCGAGAGAGATCGTCTTCTCTAGCTCTGAGAAGCAACGACCGCCAATCCTCCTGAGTGAGGAGATCCTGGATCGATTTAGCCTCGGCGTCAGGCCGCAGACACCAACTCGACCAAGCGCAAACTCGCATCTGAGTCTCTTGGCCATGGTAGACTGCTGGGCAGCTCTGCGAATATTACCGTACAAGCATCTAGACTTGGCAGCAACCCCAATCTTCCGGATGTGGATTGGTGTTGCCGAATATCTTTTCCGATCAAACGACCGCCTCGACGCAGCGGTGCAGGCAGCGGTGCATGACGTTTCTCATCGTTCGGACGACCTCGAGTTCGTAGTTGCGGCCCGGGGATGGAGCCAGTGTGTCTCTTTTGGCAGCTTTGAGCTCTACCGAGAGCGTTTCACCCATACCGCGACATTCTTCGAATCGCGCTTCCCAGAGGCAAATCGTGTCGGATCTCAGATGATCAAGGCAATTCTTGAAGCCGCAACATGATTTTACATTGCTGTACATTGTGGTTTATAGGGATGCGTTATGGTACATGGTGTGATTGTATGGTATGGTAAAGATATCCTCCAATGGCCGTTCCTAAGGCATCATCTGTTGAGGTTGGTGTGGGCGCATCATGTGTTGAGCCCATTGTAGTGTGTGCTGCGTCGAATTTCCATATCGTGTGATTTGATTGCTTGAAGGCATAGTCATGCTCAACTCGTTCAGCAAGTCAGGTTGCAAATCACCGAAGTTCATCCACGCCTGCTCCGCAGAGATGTTGGCATAATCTCCGTTCACATTCGTGGAAGGGAACTGCAGATCTTGAACCGTCCGAAGGTTCGATTGCGGTTGATATTGCACGGTAGCCGGCCCCATACCTGCAGATAGGTGGCTTGATTGAGATGATGCCGGCGAGTTCTGAGCGCCGGCGCTTGTCCGTTTCTGTGCTTCGGCGAGTAAGAATCGCAGGACATGTGCGCCTCTAGAAGCAATTTCGCTGATATCATTCGACCTTTCCAGCGTTTCGATGGCGAACATGATATAGTCGTTCCTCGACCTTTCCTGTATCTCTGTTCCGATTACCTTTTCATTGGGCAAGTAAAAAGCGTCCATGGCAAGAATAACAGCAGCTATGGCGTATGCCATTAGATTTTCTTCTGAGAACATGTACACGTAAACTTACCCATCCAACAATACATCAAATTATACCAAGCCTAAGTGGCATTCAGTGGACTTCTTTGCTTTGCGAAATTATTACGACGCACGTAGAATCCAGGGAAACCTTTCTCCTGACCGTCTTTGAAGAGGACAAGGATCGCATGAGCTGCCCTGACACAAGGACCAGTAGAAGGATGAGCGTGATAAGTGCCATCTCGATAGCCATCGAGCATGAAAGGTCGGTGCATCCGTATCCTTCGATTGTGCATATGGAGATTGAACTGCAGGTACTCCCACTAGGTGAAAAGACATTAGCGGGGACCTAACATAACAGAAGAGCGAAAAAAAACAAACCCTGACAACTGGCATTCTGTCTTCCAAGGCACTATCTGGTACTCTCCAGCACATCGGCAGCGTACGGAGTAAAGCATCCTGCTGAGCCTTGTGTATAGGCAAATAGGCCGAATCAAGGACTCCATTCATGCTGTTGATTCGATCTGTCAGTTCTCTGACAGTGCCGGCTAAGCCGACTTTGGCCAACAACATGGAGGCACTCTGGGAGGAGGCTGTGAGTTGGATGGAAGCTGACTAGTTAATCGTATGTCGTACCGTACGTTCGACGGTAGGCTTGGTGGGCAACGGCCGACCTTCAACCATATCGTCCCAATCTAGGTTCATAGGCTTTGCGGTATTGCACTGATTAGGGTGAATGAGATACGTCGAGTTCATTTGAGTGGATATGTTCCAGTCCAAGAAAACCACATTCCACCATACTCTCCTGCGGAGCTAATCACATGGGATTAGTGAGCAGTAAGAGCTTTTGACGATGAACACACCTCTCTTTGTATCAGTCCCTTTGGCGGTGCAACTCCATGCGGTTCTTGGCCAAGTCTGTGCAGCCCCTGATTCATTCCAATTCGTATCGCCAAAGCTGTCATAGCTGCTTGGCTCTTGTAGCTAGCCTGATGTCAGTAGATCCTCAAAACCCAACATGGTCGTGCTGACCCTTGATTGTCCAGAGACAGGTTGCAGTAGGAAGACAGGACAAGAGCCTGGACTGTCTCGATATTCTGACTCGACATGTAGTCTGCATCCCTGAGTGCTTGTTCGGCAATGAGCCAAAAGCGCTTTCCCATTCCCTTCCAAGTTTGTCGATCGACACATATGCCTCGTTTCTACCCCGATTGTCAGATATGATTATAATGCCTGATAGACGCTTACGATAGGTTCCTCTGGGCCCATACTTGTCAAAGCTAAGCAGAGAATTGACCACCACAGCGCCATCCATTGAGGGTTGACAACCTCGGCTCTTTCGGCAGCTGTATTGAGAGACCAGAACTTTCTATAGTTGCTGTCAAAAGTCGGTCGATGAAACATGCATATATGCCATTCAATATCAGAGAACTGATGCAGATTCAGTTACAAGCTCGTACGGCAAAGGCGGGGGAAAGGTGCGCACAAAGAAGTCGGTTAACTGATCGCAGACCCAACGTTCAGGGATCCCAGTCCAAACATCGCTAGCAGAATTAATTTCAGGTTGATTGCTTCTTCCCAGCCCAGCATCGACATCCGGGAAGGCTGGGAAGCCATCCAAGGTTTCAGATGCTTGGATGAGAACAGGAGGTGCACCTCCATTACCCGTGGAAGGAGGAGAGGTACTGGAGTGGGTATAGGATGAGGCAACGCGAGCACGGTCCTTTCTGGCGGACTTGAATGATTCGGCCTGAGCTTGAAATTGCTCCAGGGGACCCACTGGTCGCTTGTGTTGTAGATGTGCGGCCGGGCTAGAGGCTGGACTGGATGGAGCAGCGATTTGGGAGCGGAGTGCTTGCATCTCGTCCGCTTGTTTGTGACAGAGGGCTTGTAGCTCCTTACAGACCTTCTGCGTAGACGTAAGCTGATCTTTGAGCGCGTTGTATGAGGAGCGTCCTATAGGCTTGTCACTGAAGGGGAATGCATGAGGGCCGTCACCATTATGTGCGAGGAGGAAAGATCACTCACACTGGTGGGAGCACAGACCACTTGCACATGTCGCTTTCGCCTCGACGTGCACACGGACCACAAGGCTTTTTCCGATCACATCCGATCTTGCGCCTCTTGCACTCTGTTTGCTCGATTAGTTGGCTCATGAATATGGGGTCTGATACGGCACATACCTGAACAGCTGAGCGCCTCGCGACGCCGTTTCTTCTTAATGGGCTGAGGGAGCTCAGGTACGTGGTGTGAACGACCCCCGCTGATGCTTGTGGACGGCGTATCCTCGTAATACTCTTCCATGTCTTCGTAATTAGGAGAACCAGCTATATCGTGGTCTGTGGTATCCATGGCTTGTTGTGGAAAGGCTTTGGGAAAAGGTTAGATGTAACGATAGCTTGTATATGCTGGTCTGAGGTCAAATTGAGATGTATGTAAGTGGCGTCTCGATGTCGACGCCGGATCAAGAGCGCATATATCCAGCGGAGATAGAGAGGACCCGTATGTAAGACAAGATACAATTGCCGCCGGGATGAACGCAGTAGAGCACAGATGACACCCACAAGGGCGGACACGAGATGGTCGTCCGCAAGTGCGCAGAGGAGCAAGCCAAGCGGTAGTCCTCGGTGTCGACAACGAGGTGATCGCGTCGCCTTTGTCGGTCCGGAAGTGAATCACGCCGGCGGCTGGGCAGCCTGGGGGACGACGGATACCTTCCGGGTGGCAGCCATCTTCGCCGTTTGAACCATTCAGGGCTTGTGGAAGCAACAGCAATATGAAAAGGGCGGAAGCGGAGTTATTAGTCAGCACTTTACGTGAGGGGTCCACGCCTTTTTGGCAGCCCTAAAGTCCGGAAATTGCTTCTCTGTGCCGGAAACAATCGAGCTGTCCAGTCCGATCGACGCACAAAGAAATCTTTCCCCAACAACATCATCATATTGTTGATTGATCTCATTCTGAACTGAACAGCTCTCAATATTGCATGTGTCACCCGGCGATACGGAAACCCTAACCGGCTCTTTTCTTCTCAATATATATTTCGGTATCAAGCCTTCCTTTCCTTTCGACCATCGAAGGTGAATCGTCTTGCAAAGTTAAATACTGTTTCAGGCATGCTCTCAACAAGGAATTTGCGGAGACAATATTATTCCCTGGGTCCACCGTAGCAACACGATCTTGCGTCCAGTGATCGTGACCCTGTCATGTCCTCCAGCGCGGTGGCTTGTCATAATATCCCAATATGGGTTCCGCTGCCGGACAGATCAGTACGGCAGCCCGTTCGGGCGACGGGTTCGACAGAATATTCCCAGAACCCAGAATTATTGCGCCATCGATAGTATGATACACGCCGTGAGGTGCCGGCCGCGGGGATTGTGACAAGCTCCTACCCAATGGTCAGGTGCCACGCATTATAAATATGGGGTCCCCATGCGTCTTGTTGCCGTCCATTGTGCATCAGAGTGTCCGATCTAAGAACTTCTTTCCAGCAAAGGGTCAGTATGTCAGATCCCAATGGGTAAACGCCGAGCAGCTCTAATCGATATCCATATCATTATAATCCAGCAACGCCGCGGCGGTTCATCAAAATTAAACACCTTCACGGTTACCTTCTTTAGAAATCCGGATACAAATATCGGATGGTCTATAATTTAAACACCCGATAAATTCAAAACCTTGCGCTCCGGCATATGGTGCACCTAGTTACTGTACTGATAATTGATTGATATCCATAACGCACCCCGTCTTTCCGGTTATCTAATACTGGTTAATAATATTGCGCTGGCGTTCTGAAGTCGGCTGTCTACTACCTTCATCGTTCTCTTCTTCGCGAACCTCCTAACATATGCCCCGAACTCGATTCGTTTGCTGACGGTACGTGGTGTATTCATTGGCCTTATGGCGCATCCTCCGCAATCGTAACCGCTACCCGCGCATATCTATGTCTACCTACGAAACACGTACGATCTTGTGTCGCATTCGTGCTCAAACTCTAAAATAAAAAAGCATGCTCCTCAATCGATATACGAAGTCTGCAATACTATTGAGCTGGTCGAGGCCTCTTCCTATCTGCCAGATGTGCATCTGGCACCTATCCTAGTAGTCTCAGAGCTCACTTCAGAGTAGATGAAATACATCGTGTATGTGTTCCTTTATTCATCACGTTAGGTGTATGGGTGGGTACCACTTATTCCCTGCACGATCTCTCCTCGACTGAGCTTCCTTTCCATCGGGCAGTTCCTCGATCGGACCCGATATGATATTCTAATGAGCCGGCGATCGGCCAGATCGCAGACTCTACTCCGCCTATTCAGACCATATATGGGCAGAAGAAACCTCTCCACTCCCCGCTAGCGACAATCCCCTTCTACCGTCCACATCCCAGCGTATGCAGTCCATGAAAGTTAATTACCGCCGCCCGAAAGTCGGACAACCCAAACCAACAAAAGATAATATAGATACCCACTCTCACATGTCCCGAGTAGTCCAACACCCTTCGCGCATCATTTTTCCGGCTGAGTTCAGATGTTCAGCGCTAACGGGCCTCTTCACACTCCCTTTCCCCCCTTCGCCTCTCCCTGGACGCCCCTCCATTCCGGAAGGCAAGAATACCACCCATCCCTATCGATGTCCGTATAGCCGTCTCCAAACGCTGGGCAGTCGCACCTATCCCTTGTCAGCTCAAGCACAGGGCTACATGGGGGAGAGACGCACTCGCAGCCCATTTCCTTCGGCGGACAATGCATAAACCAATCGTGCTTGTACGCAAAGTCCTCAAAGCTGGTCCAATCAGCTCTTTCCATGACCTTCACCAGAAAAGCAAGACTCACTAATGCACCCTCTCCGGTTCCACGAGCATGCCCAGGGCCATACTCCTCACGGGCGCGTCGCCCCATCTCTCGGTATAAAATCCACCCTTCTTGTCCAGCATATTAAACAAGTCTTGATACTCATGCCCTCTAAAGAACCTCAGGTCCCCAATCTCGAAGTTTGTCCAGAAATGGCACATATTATACTCCCCCTCCATGGAGCCATGTTTGCTCTTGGTGAAGAAAGGCCACAGGGCTCCGGGAACGAGGGAGTGGTCTGTGGCATAAGTTGAAAGTGTGCGGAAGAGAGTGGGTATCGTATTAGGCGTCTCGACGATGGTGATTACGAATCCGTAGACTTGGTTACGCAGAGCCAAAAACCGAAAGGGGTCGTATGATATCCGGCAGTAAAAGCGAACTGCCACCACATCCCGTCAGTGTCATTCTAGCAAACTGCAAGGGACGTACCACCCGGCTCTAAGCGCCAATACCACTCATATTTCTCAAGCACTTTCTGCCGCGCGAACAAGCCAGAGTAAAACCGGCACATATGATGATACCCTTCCCTACCGCTATACTGCACTCCCTCCCTTCCCTGACGAGCAAACCCCTCCCTCATCTCAGTCGCGTTCAGCCAGTCTGGTATGCGCCAATCGTGGTCCTCTATTTCCGCGTACTCGACCTCCGCACCATCAGGGAGGGAGAGCGCGACCTGAGCGCGGAAATGGGCGGAAAAGGACGGCTCGTCAGGCGAGGAGAGCATCACGTACGGATATCGGAACTGGGCGTTGAACTTTTCCTCAAAGTTTGCAAGGGTGGGTAGGAGTTGGGCAAGGTCCTTTTCCCGTAGGAGGAGGAGGATAGCGCCCTTCTCCCTAGGCTGATGCAGAGCTGAGATGGGTGCGCACCCGTGGTATGCGGAAGGGGAAAACGACCCGGAGGGAATCTGGTTGTATGTGCGTATCCATGTGCGCAGTGGGCCACGGAGAGGGAAAAAGAGGAGTGCGCACAGGAAGAGAGAGAGGAGGAAGAAAGTACGTCGAGGGCGCCGACGGGGTTGGTTACTCCGCCATGGGAGACGAGTGCTGCCGGTAGACATGAAGGAGGAGGCGTCCCGTCTACGGTGCTTACGCATAATTTTCTTGAGTGCGGTTACAGCGCGCGCATGGTGGGGAGAACAGAAGAGGACGAAGCGCGCAGTCAAGGCTCTCTTTCTGCAGAACGCGAAGTTCTGGAATGAGCTGACGATCGGCTTATATAATCAATCTGTGATCGAGCCCCGATAAGGGGCGTCCCTGGCGTGTTTTATCGGCCCGCCCTCCATGAGCCGCCAAACAGCGATATTCGGCAACGCTAGCACAACATCAGCAAAAAAGATGATTCTAAAGTACTGTACAACATTCTTTCCTCAATCAGAATAAGTCTGTGATGCAATGATGTCTACTGTCGTCAGCAGAATTTGTACTCCACAATCACCGTCCTCATACAGGCACGTTCGTCTCCTCCCAATCCCCCTTCCTACTAGATGGAAACGAAAACGAAGCAGAATCGGGAGAGGTATGAGGAAGAGGGAGCGGATGTTTCTCCCGCCATTGCACGCTTGATATGTCTTTCCATTCTGGAACGCAGGAGCCCCAGGATTGGCCGTCGATATCCACATGGTCAGTGTCGAATGCTGGGCAGTCGCAGCTGTGCATATCGTCAGCACGTGCCAATACTGAGGGACAGGAACAAAGTGGGAGCACAAATCACCCATCACAGGCACGGAGTACACGTCAGGGAAGTAGGAAAGAAAGCGAGGACTGAAATCAACCAGAAATAAAAGAAACACTCACTCGCATCCCATCTCCTTCCTTTCCGGGCAATGCATGAACCAATCATGCCTATATGCAAAATCCTCAAAATAATGCACCTTATCCGTGCCCTCCAGCAAGCCTAAGGCGATCGTCCGGATAGGCGCGTCGCCCCATCGTTCGGTGTAGAATCCGCCGGAGCGGTCAAGCGCCGTGAAGAGTTGTTGATAGGGTTGGGAACGGAAGAAGGGGAGATGACCAATCTCGAAATTGGTCCAGAAGTGGCAGCGATCTGTGCGTGATTACAGCTCGATTGCACGGTCCTACAGGGAAAGAGACTCACTGTACCCACTAGCGCCATTCTTGTCCCTTGTGAAGAAGTCCCACATGTCGGTTGGTGTGAGCCCCGCTTCTTGCACATACTGCTTCACGGTCTTGTACAGCGAGGGAATGGTGTTGAGGTCGTCTATGAGTGTGATCACGAACCCGTACGTCTGGTTACGTTGTGCCAGGAACCGGAAGGGGTCGTAAGTCACCGAACAGTAGAACCGGACTGTCAACGCCATCCCATGCATCAGTCATTCTGTCACCATTACAAGATTGGGAGTGGGAAGACGCACCACCAGGCTCTAGTCTCCAGTACCACTCATACTTCTGGAGCAGCTCGTGCCTCGCAAACAGGCCAGAGTAGAAGCGGCACATGTGATGATACCCCTCCCTACCGCCATACTGCACCCCCTCCCCCGCTTGTCGGAGGAACCCAGCACGTATCTCGTCCTCGTCCAGCCACTCAGGGATTCTCCAGTGTTCTTCCGGTACTTGGCCGAACTCTAGCAACGCTCCCGGATGGACAGCGTCCGCTATGCTAGCCCGGAAATGGGGGGAGAAAGGGGGCTCGTCCGGGGCTGAGAGGAACACGTACGGATACTTGAAGCGAGCGTTGAACCGATGCTCGAAGTTTCGCAACGTGGGGAGAAGAGCTGGAAGGTCACCTTCCCGGACAAGGAGGAGGATAGCCCCGTTTGCTCGCGGGGCGAGTTCGATGGACGTCGGTGCGCAGCCTTCGAATGCCGGCCGCCTGGGAATGGGCGAAGGGGTGAGTACGATGTGTCTTGCGTGGTGGGAGAGATAGAGGTGTGCGAGGAGGACGAGGGTGGTTAGCAGCACTACCAGAGAGAGGTGCGTCCGGGAGAAAAGAGATTTGCGGGATGGGGTCGGTTGCCTTGCCCAGACTGGAACACGGAGGGTCGAAGAGACACTAAACATGCTTGTGCTTTGATGTTGAGTAGAAAGGCCAGTAGATGATTATAAGCAGTTGTGGGCGCCTGTTGGTGATCAGCCCGGGAATACAGCACAAGGGCTGTTCCTCCTCTGACAAGGTGAGAGAGGAAGAGCAATTCTGCTGACTCTTCCAGTGCTTTGATGTATCCCGGAAGCGCAGTTCCACATAGGACCGGAGATGAGGAATGCGCAACACGTGTGAAACAGAAAACATCAACACAGAACACATTCCTTTCCCCTGCATCGGAGCCACCCCAATTCCTAACTCTCTTTATATCCGACCTCTTCCCATTCCCTCATGCCCTCGCATCTCCAATGCAACTCTCAACATTACACTTCTCTCTCACAGTGCGTCTTTATCCAGCAACAGACCATGGAATCAGACGCTCCATCCAGGCACTTTTCAGCAGGTGAGTGACGCACTGTTATTCGGATACACTGCGCAGCCACGGAACAGAAGCACCTTGGCTGCGCCTCGACCTCGTTTCGCCCAGCTTATCAGCACACATTAGTACGAGTCCACACGCATGCATGTACTGTAAACCAGGCGGTACTGCCCAATATTCGATGCTTCGAGGGCAAGCAGCTGACGGCGATGTTATTCTGGTCAACAGTGGGCGATGACGTACACAACAGGGCTGTGCAGCGTCGAAGCCCGTGCAACAGAAGACCCTGCCTACAGATACGAGGCTGTGATTGGTCCGCCCACTCGTTGAGCTTCTAGGCCTTTGTAGACGCCCACAGCTATGACATAGGCGCTCGGGGGATTTTCTTCTCCTGGCCCCATGTCAACCACTTTTTATGTAGTCTGGCTGATGAAATATGTTGTCATATCGCTCGAAGTTTCAACCAGCCTATCCGGCCTATCAGAGGTCACACTTTTGACAGGCAGAGTCACAGTCGGCGGCGGGTTTCGCCTATGAGGATGAACGTTGATCAACGGGTACTGATCATGCGGGGTATCATTCATTTGTCCTCCCGATGAACTCGTTCACCCTTGATCAGAAAAAGGCTCTTCACGAAGCCAGACAGGATCTCGTCCTACATCTAAACGGCTCCCTATGACAGGGAAGAATCAACTGCCTCGGCTCTGATCCCCGATAACTTCGACTGGTGCGATTCTGATGGGTTCCGAGTCGGACGGCGGTTTGCAAGTATTTCAGCAGGATCACCTCCTCAGCATCGAGATACGAGGAAAGGAATGCTTATTGCGGTAGCTTGGGTCTTCGTATGAGGAGATGCACGCTAACTCCAGGTGTGTATCACGACAATTTCTGCACTCTGGATCAGGTTATTGAGATGTGCATATACATATGAACATTATCAAAGAGGATTAAAAAAGGTAGTACGACCTAGAGACAAGAATGCGGCAATTCGGTATTATACCTATAGTGCTAGATTTCCCCGTACCGTTCTCCGAACAGCATCCACCTAAGCTCTCCTACGTCACCTCTACTCCACTTCAATGGATGTACAGCGTCCGAGGAAACTCGACCCTCATCACAGCTCTTGTCAACCTCCCACCATTCCGCAGTCTCTCTAACATCTTCCCCAATGGTTTCCACACTTCCAGATCCCCCTCGTCCGGTTCCCAGCCAAAATCGGCGTTCGGCCATACAGCTAGCAAGAATCGACCTTTCTCCAGCACGTCCCATAGCCGGCCTTTGTCCACCCTAATCTCCTTCAGGTTCGCGCACGGACGAGGGTAGGGAATCGGGATAGGCGGCATAGCGTTGAGGAAAGATATGTGGATCGTTTCCAGCTTGGGGCAGCCTTGGGCCAGGGGCGCCAGTGTACCCCCGAACGTGAGCCGGTTTGGATTCAGGATTCCAGACCCTTCATGGCTACCCTGAACCCAGGTCACCCCGAGATGTCGCAGCTCCGGCCAGGCAGCGGCGAGCAGGACCATGTCCTCATCCGTGATATCCAGGGAGCGATTGTCCGCTGTTGGGCCGAGGTTCAGGGACAGTTTGAAGGTTTGCAGTTTGGAGAATCGAGTGAGTGGGTGAAATATACAGTAAGGGACGGGCTCGAGTGGTTGAAGAACCAAGTTCACCTCAGGGTGGGAAAAGGTTATCGTGAGAGACAAGAGGTCAGGGCAGGGAAGGGCACTGATGGCGCGGACGATCTCCGATAGTACTTGGGAGAAGGTGTTGGGCACAGGGGGAGGTTGGCTAGCAAGAGATCCGTGTGTCCCTCTGAACCGTGGGTGACAGCTGCAGTCGATGTTGATTATGACTTCCTGGAGGGATGAGGTGCACGCACGCAACGCGACCAACGCTGCTGTCTTCTCTGACAACCCGATGGCCACGCGTCGCAAACAGGGGAACGACATGACGGGAAGCGTACATGGTTCCTGTTGTTTGTCGCCAGAGGCAGGCACTGACCACACGGATAGGTCCTCCAGTGCAGGGTACATAGTCGATATCTCCAGAATCTGCATTGGTTTTATCATGATCGCGCTGTGTCTTGACCCTAAGCTGAAGCACCGTACATTCGAAGTCGCCTCCACCAGTGTTCGCAAAAGTACTGCGTCAGCATGAGGAGGGAGTATCGGGACCTCGAGCCGCACCAGCCTCGGACACTTATATTTCAGACCGGAACATAGTAACATAAATCCCTCGTCCCAGACAGAAGCCATAGATGGGGCTGGATAGAACTGGACGCAGAGGGTGCGCAATGTGATCCGCAATGCCGCCGAGAGTGTAGCGAATGAGATCTCGCTGTCCACGTCGAATGTCAGTTGCTGCAGCATTGGAAACAGGTCGACATGACGCTGGCCGGCTTGGATGAGTACGTCATGAAAGTGATAATATGTCACGCCCCTATGACGTGCGAGGGTGCGAGAGGTATTCAAGATCCGGATGTGTCGAGAGTACAAGAGGAGCCTGTCCCATCCACCTTTGGCGAGAATCTGTACATGAAATTTCAGAGGCGATGAGTCACCAGATATATACATTCCTTACAGGTGACGTAGCCGCATCGACCAGGTGGTGACAGAGACGGACGAGCTGTGGAAGAGCCGGCCTCCTCCAAATGTGAGCAAGCCCACTGGCAAAGTTCTTCTTTCTCGTGAGCACCAAGGACAACATGTCTGCCGAGGAGTCGTCTCTATCGCACATGTCCAGTTCCTCATATACCAGCGATATGAGTTCTTCGATCTCCCAGAATCGGTGCATCGTAGCGAGAGATGGGATCGACTCCGTTGACTTCGTAATCCTAGTCCTCTTCTTGGGTGGCATGAAAAAGTCGGGAGGTGGAGAAGAAAAGATTTGCGTCCATTACCTCCTCGCGTCTTGATGTATTACTACAGTGATGGTCACAAACCATCATTCCCGGGTCTGGCCTTCTACCTCTTTCACCGACATTGAGGACCAAGACATGAAAGCACTTCCTGAAAGTCTACACCTGAAGGCCATTTGCCGCATATCAATCACGATTCTTCGTGGGAAGCGTTGTTATATGAAACTAGTCGTTGTAGTGTAGTCGTTCATTGTCGCCGCGCGCCTGTCCCCTTACGTATCCGTGGTCGACTCATGATGTGATTAGGTTCCGTAACATAGTGCATGCTTTGCGGTTCACGCACATTAATGATGGAAATTGGTGCACATGCTTGTCGCACTCTGATGCATTCAGGAAAAAGGAGGCCTATTATATGTAGACAAATGCGCGAATGGGGCTTCGGTTGACCGAGAGCTTTGTACTAGTGAAGTAAATATAATAAGTATGTTACCTTAAATGTTTTCAACGACCATAGACATGAACAACAGAATGTACATTCTGTTGAATAAGGGCAGGAGAAAAAACGATTTCTCGAGGCCTGAAACAGTTGAGCAACAGTCGACATGTCGCAGGAGTCGGTTATCGGCACCAGCCTAGAACAACGGACCTGCGATTGGGCATCGCGGAGGGCCTTCCAATCGACCTAACAGGCCCCGTCAGGTTGCTAGCCCCCGCTCCTCAGTTTCCCCGGCGGTTCAACAAGAGACAACGGCTCTAGGAAATACGGTAGCGAGGAACTCGGTTATCTGCGTCCTGTTCCCAGAATGCCGCATGTCCACTCGCAACGCCCGAAGAGCATGGGATGGTACCGGCCATGGATTCCTGATAGGTTCAGTGGTGTTAAGATAGGACAGATGGAGCGTCTCGAGTTGTTTACACGCTGCTATATGGGTAAGGGTGTCGCCAAACATTAGCCTCTCAGGCAACAATACGCCCCTGGACGGAGCCTCGGCCCGCGGCCACCATGTCACTTCAAGATGTCGCAACTTTGGCTATGCCCTCGGAACCAAACTGAAGTCTTCGTCTCTGATATCCAACAGTAGCCCTTCTGCGAAGGTAGCTCGGAAGTGTAGGGTCAGGCAAAATTTTGAGATATGGTGGAAGTGTTGAAGAAGAGGTTTCATGTTGTCGCCGAAGGAGACGACGTTGGACAATTTCGAAATGCGGGCAGTAGCACCTAAGCGTGGGTGGTGGACTTCCAGAGAAAGTTCATCCAGGTGTATGCTAGAAAGGGAGCAGATAGCCGTGGTAACCTCCAATAACCGACTTTGGAAGGACCCATCCACGTCGTTCTTCATGTCGAACGAGCCCCGGTTGTAAGGACGATGACTATAGGAATACTCGCCAATCTCCACACGAAGATTTTGGAGGGGTGACATTGCGCAGGCCGAGAGCGCAGTGACGACGGCGGTTCTCCCAAGGGAGCGGATGCATAGGCTGCGCAAACAGGGGAAGGAAGCTCTTGGCTGGGCACGCAGTTGTGCTATCGCCTCTGAGGAGTTGTCGCAGAAGACCACGGAGAGTGCTTCCAGTCCTACATGGACAGCTGATGAGGTCGTAAAGACACCAGGATAAAGACCACTCGAAGACCACGGTGGGAGCAGGTGCAAGGCCTTGACCTTCGGCGTAGCAAGCATTAGCCCTTTCAAAAGTCGCGCCTGCTTCGGAAACTCATCGGGCATATTTCGAACCACCAGTTCCGTGATATTGGGGCACTTCGCTCCAAGAATGGAAGGGAATTCCAACAGTTGGTCAAGCGAAGGGAAAAACTTGACTTGCTGGCTGCGATCATGGTAGGAGAAAAACGAAATATCGAGGATCTGCAGTTTCTCGGACAACAAATCGGGGAGGATCTTCAACATTCGGTCGCCTTTGACGTCGAATGCGAGCTGCCGTAAGCTGGGAAATGCGATCGTCAAATTCCGTTGCTCATAGTCCATAATGGCACCAAAACAAGCGAGCGTGGTGGTTTGACTAGCCTGTTTGACCAGGTCACGAGTGAGCAACAGGGTACGAATGTGGAAGGAATATAATTGGAATCTTTCCCAGCTCCGGTTGCAAAACTTCTGCGCAATGAAGAACGGCTCAGGTTTGCTCGTGGCACATTGGAACATAAGGAACATACCATCGATATTATAGGACCGAAGAAAACACTGCAAAGGTGGCAGACCATACGGGGGCCAACAGTTCTCCAGATTCGGCGCAGCCCAACTTCAAATTTCTTCTTGCTGGTGAGAGAGAGAGCAACAGCATCATTAAGATCCAGGTATCCGTAGACCACAGACAGCAGCTCAGGAATTTCCCAGATGGGGTGCGATATAGGTGGAAGGTTCGAATGATCAGAACAGTAACGACCACTGGCACCGGAAATTGGCATGATAGCACGCGATTGAGGGGGATTAGGGAGAGGGGCGGACTCGATCTCAAGAAGGTCAATCAATGGCCATCAGGAATTAGGACGAACTCAGAATGATTCTAACTGATGCACAGAGGGCACTAACCTAGAAGGCCAAAAAGAATAATATGTAGACTTGGTGATTAGGTTCTATGTTGCTCTGAGTAAAAGTGTCGGACACTAAGTTGAGCATATACAGGTCTCACGAGTGTTGGTGGTAAAGAGCAGTGTCGGAAGGGACGCGCGTTACTGCCCTTGTTGCTATCGGAACTACCAGCTCCGCACTACCTCATCGACTCCCCAAACCGACAAATGACTGACAAATTGCAACCTTTTGGCCTTTCCGGCACTGTATATCGTAAAGACCGCTCTGAGGAGACCGCCTGGGTCCCTTCCGGCTCTCGCAATAAGAAAGGAGGCAGTAGGGCGTCTTCACGTGAGCCTTCGAGGGCTACGACGCCCCAACCACCCCAGGCAAGCTCTGGCTCGAGAACGACGACGACACAGAGAGTACCAGCAGGATCGCTTACTTCTGATCTGCTGACGCGACCTCGCCCATCATCACAGCATGGCAGGCAGAGCAATCCCCCTTCTGGCTCCTCGACTCCCAAAGCGTCTGCACCATCCCCCGAAGTCAAGGGTCTTCTCAGTCTCATCGAATCCCTACAAGCGCTTGACGCTCGCTCACCAGGCACGACAGAAAATCCTTGCTTCTGTCTCGCCCAAACTCACAACCTCTCCCCCTACGTGCCGATTTGCTTTCACTGCGGAATGATCATGTGCGAGCTGCAACCGCCCTCGAGCCTGTGCCCGAGTTGTGGGGAATCCCTGATCACACAAGGGCAGCGGCAAGCTCTGCTGGTGCGACTCGACGAGGATATGTCTGCTGTGCTAGATGGGGAGGAGCGGGAGCGTCAGAGGCGAGAGGAGGATGAGAGACAGCGGTTGTTGGTGGAGAGCGGGGGGGGTGCGTTCCCTACTCTTACTGGCCGACCTGCGCCCGTTCCCCAAGCACCACCAGCAGACCGCAAGGTCATCACGCTGGGAAAAGGGAGGAAAGGTCCAACAATTGTCACCATGAAGACTGTTGCAAGAGCTCCCCAGGAGACTAAGCAGCCAGAAGAGCCCAAGCAGCCAGAGATTCCCCGCATTTCAAGACCAGGAAAACAGCCTCTACCTTCAGCGAATAAGTTGAAGGAGCTGGAGACACGACCTTGGGCAAACCTCTGGATTAGGGAGGGGGAACGGCCAGTGTACGTGCCGCCACTGAAACTGATCGACGACAAAAAGGGAGCGGAGGGAGAGCAAAAGAAGAGTAGGAGACGACGAAGAGGGGGAGGAAAGGCGGACGGGAAGGAGAACACAGACGCTGGCCAATCGAAGAGCGAGACGCCTCTGGCAACGACGTCAGGCACATCATGACATTCAAACAAATGATTGATGCAATGTATGTTGTATAATAATACAAAGTCCGTCTAGTGACTAATGTATTGGAATACAGTGGATACCTGCGGTTCACCACACTCGGCTCTCAGCAAGTCATCATGCAATTTCGTCAGTTCCGCGTTCTGATAGTGATTCCAACTAGAAACATTATGAGCCAACGCCAAAGCATGGAATATGTTACCCACGTGCTGGCATCACCATACAAAAGTGCAGGTGCCTTGATGAATTGCTTGCCTTCCTTGCACCTCTTGCATTTGAATGTATCATGCGTCTCACAATGCGTATTGTCCTTGAACAGGAATAGCTTGCGAAGGTCGTCAGCGCTGAAATGCCTCTCTGCGTCTTCCTTTTCGTCGACAACACAGGATGAGAGAGCCTGTTTCTGCGCCTGGCGCTGGAAGATCTTCTCTTCAATCGTACCGGTGGAAATGAATCGGTAGACGAAACATTCTTTCTTCTGTCCATCACGCCAAACACGCGCGAGCGCTTGCTGATCAGCAGCTGGATTCCAGTCTGGCACAGCAGTCAGCGTCTTTTTCCGAGTCAAAGAAAAGAAACTGACCAGGGTCAAACAAGATCAGTCTGTTGGCTCCAATCAAATTGATACCACATCCTCCAGCTTTTGAACTGAGCAAAAATACAAACTCTTTCCCCTCTGGATCATTGAACTGGTCGACTAATTTCTGCCGTTTCACAACTGACATCGTGCCATCAAGACGAAAAAAACCGTAGCGCTTGGATCGGCACATCTTTTCGAAGAGATCGAGTGTTTGGGTATAGTTACTGATAAGGACGATCTTGTCGTTCGTTTCGCGTTTGATTCGATCTAGGAATCTGAGGTTTGTTAGGGGGAACCAGCACCCTCGGTGGCTTACATACCTCTCAAGGACCAAGAACTTTCCGCCCCATTCACATCTCACGTCTTCCCCCATACCACGATCCCGCGCACCTCTCTCTGCCCTGCTCACCTTCGGCCCACCGTACAGCGAGTTCCCATATTCAGGAGGGAGAACCGAGTCGCAACCCGGCAAGTCTTCAGGCAGATTAAGCAGCTCGGGATGGTTGCATAATTTCTTTAGCAAGTTGATGGCTTTGAGTGGTTGGGAGCCTTGGCCGCGGAGCAATCTTTGCGTTTCAGGAGACTTGATGAAGTGTCGATAGAGTGCGAGTTGGAGAGGCGAAAGTGTGCAGAAGACGACGTGCTCGTATTTGACAGGAACTGATTCCAAGATTCAGATCAACGCCATGAAAAGGGGCTGGATGGACTCACGGTATTTGGACAATAGGTCATTGGTCCTGCGAATGATAAACTTACTAACGCGTTCAGCGAGCTCCTTGAGCTTTGCCTCGCTGTTCTCCTTCTCCTTGTCTGTCGCATCGGCATCCCGTCCGCGTAGGATCGCAAGCTCGAAGTTCTTCCGAAACTCCATCCTGGAGCCGAGGTAGTCGGGGTTCGCAAAGTTGAGCAGGGAGAAGTACTCGGATAAATCATTTTGGATGGGAGTCCCGGAGAGGATCACACGACGTTGTACTTTAAGACCGTTCAATGCTTGGAATGTTAAGGAATCTATGCAAACGTTAGTGCGGTTCCTTCCTGTTGGCGCATACAGTGCACCTGAATTCTTCAAACGATGGCCTTCATCACATAGCAACAAGCCAATCTCGCAGTTCATAAGCTCAGCACAGAGCGTCCGCAGTGTTTCATATGAAACAATCATCACGGGCTGAGTGACATTCCGACCCCCTGCAGCAACCCAGCGCTTGACAGACTCGATGAGCTCTGCCTTCGTACCCTTGTTATCGACGGACAAAATTCCCGGGGCACCATCTTTACCGAGCCATTTGACTGGCCATGACATCAGCCTAAATAATATGCAGTTGGTGGAAAGGATCGCACCTAATTCATTACCCCAATTCTTGACTAGTGACGAGGGGCACGCTATAATCGCTTTATCTATTGTCGGCTTTTGAGCCCGCGGCGATTGCTTGAGTAAAGTATGCATCAATGCAATGCACTGGAGAGTCTTTCCAAGACCCATCTCGTCGGCCATGATACAGCCATACGCGTTTTCGACGATGGCCCCAGTGGTACATTTATACAGAAACTGCTGGGCATCAGTCTGTGCACCACTTAGGCTCATATATACGCACCTTGACACCTTCAACCTGATGGGGTCGCAACACCTTCCCCAGCACAGGATCGATCACAACTGGAACCTTGTCTTCCTTCTTCTTCTCCTCTCCAGGCATCTTGAGCCCGAGTACTTCTCTCAAGCTCTTCCCATGAATATTCAAGAGCCCATCCTCCTTACTCTTTTCCTCTGCCTCTTTCTCTTGTCGCACCTTCTCCTCAGCAGCTAAACGCTCGCGCCGCTCTTCGTCTGTTTCCCGGTCGTCCACCGTCGGGTCGTACAAGACGATCGCATGATCAGACATGGGGTCGTGTAGGGGCCTAGGCGGGATCGTCTTCGGCGTGAGCAGCCCCAGTGCAGCACGTGAAGCTATAGTGGGCACAAGCTCTCCCTGAGAATTGAATAGTTTGGGGATGGTGAAGCTTCTGCTGAGCACTTGCACTCGGGACCCAGAAAGCTCGAACGTCGCATAAAGTCGGTTGATATTCCTCACGATGATCTCCCCATCCTCGTCAAACACCGGATCGTTCTCCTTCCCCTTAACCGCTTTCGGTTTCTTGCGCTTGCGTGCATCATCAGAGTCTGAATCACTGCCTGCAGACTCTTTGTATGAGACGCGTTTGCGTTTGCGGGCTGGCTTGGATGCGCCGACGGAGGGGAGAGCAGAGGACGGTGTACGAAATGGCTTGCGTAAAGATGTTGCAGTCGGGGCAGCAGGACGTTTGTACATATTCTTTTCGGAGGATTGTTGTCAGGCGTCGAATTGAAGAGAGATGATCGTCCCGCGAGGGAGACAGACGGGTTGTCACTGCCAGAAGAGGGACGCGCCCGACATGCTGACTGTGCACGCGGATGATTTCTTTTGACACGTGACTAAAAGCGGGAGCAAAAAGTTTGCTAGAAAAATCCGAGTGCAAGTCGACATCCTACCTCTCTATCCCCCTGTCCTTACTCCTCTGTCCTCCACTGGCAATGACAATATCTGATATTGTACCCTGTCAGCGTATCCATCCAAGTTCTGTCTCTCTATGTGAAGGATTCCATCCTCTATCGTTTTCTATGTTGGCCTCTTTCTGCCCGCGCAGCCATCCTCCCACACTGCAGCGGTTCTGGTGAACGGCCCATATCAAACCACCTCCGTGCCGTTTTAAACTGGCGGAGCGGAGAAGACTGTTATCTTACACCGATTCGTTTTGATATCGTAGGTGGACGAGTCGTTTTAACTCGGTCGGACATCGTACTGTGGTCCTATCTCTCACCTTGTCGTTAGTGATTGTTCAGACTTGTAATCCGGCACGAGTATCCATCCCCTGGTATCAATCAGAATAACGTCATCCATCCATGCATCTTCCCCGCGAGTAACACCGCAGGTTGATCCACGACGACACATCGTTTGATTTTCTCCACTCCCATCAGCCATCCATGACATCATGAAGACCCAGACCCTTGCTATCCCACAACCGCCGCGCTCTATTTCTTGCACACTAGTTGCCCGGCCATACGACTCTCCTCTTGCGCGAAGGCGGCGTGCCCTCCGTCAGCTCCGTTGTGGAGCAGCAATTTACTCATGGGGCGACGCACTTACGACACCTTCGATCTAGAGAGGTTGGTGCATGTTCCTGGGCAGGCTGATGTGACAGGCGGTTCGGCTTCACGCTGAAAAACTAAAGGTGGGTGAGTCCTCGCTGATCTCTGTAGGATGAAAACTCTAATATATTCCTCTTCGAAGCTGGAATCGAGCAAACGCTCCACAGTACAACATTCATGCTTACCGTGATCGGGAAAAGCGGTGCACATCTGACACGCACCATGAGGTCCTCCTACTCTATGGTGAGACCCTTCGGGTAACCGGGCAAAAACATGACACATTCGGGGCGAACTTGAGTCAGCTTACTATAAAGCCCTGGACGTGAAAGGTGCGTTTATACTCATCCAATCCCTATCTCTGCTCCACCCCATTCTTCACTATGCCAGCTACATACCCCGAGCTGAAAGGCAAGGTCGCCCTCATCACTGGCTCGAGCCGCGGGATAGGGAAAGAATACGCTCTCGCACTGGGCGCGCAGGGCGTCAACGTCGTCATCAACTACCACTCCTCAGCCGAGACGGCAGCCGCGGTCGTTGATGCCGTGAAGCAGGCCGGCGGTGACGCTATCGCGGTGCAAGGCAATGTCAGCAACGTGTCCGATATCGCTGCCTTATTCGAACAAGCAAAGAAACATTTTGGCAAGATTGACATCGTCATTTCCAATGCTGGAGTAGAGCATTTCAGTGATTTGGACAAGACGACCGAGGACGACTTCGACCGGACATTCGGTACCAACATCCGTGCGCAGTTTTTCGTCGCCCAGCAAGCATACCGACATGTGACGCACAATGGGGGAAGGGTGATTCTCACAAGCTCGATCAGCAAGGAGATGAGCATCCCCAGGCATTCGGTGTATGCGAGCAGCAAAGGAGCTGTGGAGGTCATGGTTCGGAATATGAAGGCCGACTTCGGTCCGTTGGGAGTGACGATTAACGCTGTTGCGCCTGGGGGGACGATGACGGACATGGCAGCGCAGTCGGCAAGGGACTACATTCCTGGTGGAAAGGACAAGACAGATGCGGAGATTCTCGCATTAATAAAGCGTATGTCGCCCCTTGGCAGACCTGGATACGCCAAGGATATCTCTAATGCGGTCTTGTTCCTGGTGAGCGATGAGGCCGGATGGATCAATGGGCAGACGATCCAGGTTTCGGGTTGAGAAGCGAAGATGGTTTATTTGTCAGGCAGTCGCTCGGAGTAGACTCTCAAGCCTTGTTCGGTAGTTGCACAGTTCAAGATAGACTAGTACTCTGTACGGTCGGTCAAAAGAGAAACAGAGGAAAAGGGTGGCCTACAGCCACCTACTACGTGTCAGTCCATGGATGCAATCTTACCTAAAAAGGTAAGTATGGAATCACGTAAGGAACGCTCACAATAGACAACCGCTCCGCGCACCCCTGGGCCGGAAGCGCGGAGGCAGACGCGTGGACAGAAGACACGCGCCAAGACAAATGTCGCAACTGTCTGCTCACTGTCATGTCACTCATTGTCTTAGGAAGGATCTGGTACACTTTCCCACCTGGTGCCCGATATGCCTGAATCAAGAGACGTTGTCTTGCCTCCCTTATCTGGGGGGGCAGCCCAGACCATGGTATTCGGTTCCCCGGAGAACTTCAGCACAATTTTGCAGATCGTTGCATCAGAACGCCTCGGGGCAAAGGAGCCAGCAGACTGGATGCAAGTCCATATGGTGCGAACAGTGGAACCATGCTAACTGGCGCAGATTGGAGTTCAGTGACAGGGATTGGACGTTCAGGACAACAGCAGGACTGAAAATAGGTCTGTCCTGGAACGTAGGAACTTTGAAGCTGTACGACGTGATCAAAGTGACCACATACAGGCAATGGGTACCTCGGGGTTCGAACAAGAGGTAAGTAAGTATGTGAACAGCATACACATGCATGCTTACTGGCCCAAGTTATATCGTGGTGCAAGACTATGCCAAGATGGGCTCGGCTGGCACATTGTTGAAAAAGCCGAGCATGGACGTTACACCTGATGTCAACCACGGAGCACTCGGTAGTCAGGCCCACTGGGCACAAGCTGCACCCGGCCAGTACCACCCGCCTGAACAAGAACATGTGAGAGCCAGCAAGAGATGGCTGGACGTCAGGGATGTGCTGTCAGCGGCGGCTCGTGAAGCAGCATGACGCATGAGCGTTGCCTTGGCACCGGTTGCTGTCCCTGGGTTGACGAGGCTGCCTAGGCTCTCCACTGCAGATGGACTAAATTGTAAGTGGGTGACTGATGTAAAAACTGGGTTATCTGAGTTAGTATAACGCGCTTTTGTGAGACATGGATTACTGACCCAGCACAGGTTTGCCATTGACGTGAGGGTGTGGGAAGTCAAGGAGGAGAAACAGGCGACAGACGGGAAATGGAAGAGGTCACGGGTATTGGCGATCTTGCTTGATCTGACGGTGAGCAAAATTCTCTTGACATCCGGTGTAAGACTGACCTAGCACAGGCAGAAATTTTGATTATTGCATTCGGTGCTCAGACGTTTCGCATACGTGCGCTGGAGCCGGGAAAGGTGAGGCATGTTGCTAAATTGACGCAGAATCTTATGTGTATTACAGACATACAAATTGAGTGCACACATGTTCAAGAGGCAGCAGAAGGATTCCGGCAGGTCCCGCATAAGTTCCAACTCATCCTGGAGGAGCATGCTGTGATCATGGAGGTACGTCATGTTGTTGCACGAGGCGCTGAACTGAACGAGAGCAGATCCATGACCCTAGCATCCCACGCATTTTTCTCACCTTCCGATGCCTCAACACTATTGAGAGGTTGCGGGTGTATGAGATCATTGGTAAGAAGCGCAGACATCGCGCAAGGTGAGTACTGATAGTCCTGTCAGATGTTCTTGCTGTTGTGGTTTGCGTTGGTCGGGTCATGAAAGGAGGTCCTGCGAAAACTGGGCGTGTGGAGCAAGTGAGTTGCCCAGAGCATGCCTCAACGTAACTGACATGGCGCAGGGTTTGCAGGTCACCTACACAAGCCACCGGGATGTATGGCTGGTGGACAACTCGAAGGTTGCAATCAGGCTCTGCATGTTTGACCTGTTCCAGAACATCTTCAAACAAGCTGAGAACAAGGTGATCGGAATCAAGAGTGTCGTTGTCGACATGCTGGATAGGCCTTGCTTGAAGACGCAGAAGGGATGCACGCAGTTCGTTTTTCAAGACGGGAATCCAGGGTACGAAAGGCTCATGGAATGGTGCGCATTGTGAAACAACGCGGAGTTCGTGTGACTAACTTGCGCCAGGTACAAAGACGCTGACCCAAAGGAATGGCGAACAATCACTGGGTCATTCTCAGCAGATGGGTTTCCCAAAAGTGACATCACGATACCCAATGAGACCATCATGATCAAAGTGGCGCAAGATGCCAAGCTTGGGCTGACGTCAAAGAAGACATTCAAGGTTATCACAAAGGTACTCGTAAAGAACTACAAGGATTACTTATACAAGGGTTGTCTGTATGAAGACTGCAATAAGAAAACTCCAACTCAGAAGATTGGCAATGTGTTTGTTTGCCCTATGTGTGACACACCATGCATTGCGCCAGGAATCAAGTAAGTTCGCACACTATCTGTCATCATGTATCCAACATTGTGCCAGGTTCAGATTGAACGTTGAGATTGAAGATGAAATGGGGAAACAATGGGCGAACACATTCAATGGCACATGTATGGGGCTTTTCAAGCAGTCAGCTCTGCAGATGCGTACCTGGTGAGATTCAAAAGAGGCAACCACGATGGTATCTATAACCCTGTGCAGGTGTTAGGGCAACACAGGCTGACTAAGTCTGCTCACCTAAGAGTGCCAAGAGTCTAAGCAGGCAACGAGGAAGTGGAGTACACCTGATGACTAAGACCTATCTACAGTATAGGTATCTGTGGATGAT